ATGTTGAACCATCCCTGCATGCCTGGGATGAATCCCACTTGGACGTAGTGTATAATTTTCTTGATGATTTTCTGCATCCTATTCGCCAATATTTTATTGAGGACTTTTGTATTTTATTGAGGATTTTTGCATCTGTGTTTATTAGGGAGATTGGCCTGTAGTTCTCTTTTTTAGTTCGATCTTTCTCAGGTTTTGGTACTAGAGTAATATTTGCTTCCAGGAATGACTTAGGAAGAATTGCTTCCCTTTCAATTTCATTGACGAGTTTGAGGAGTGTTGGCATTAAGTCTTCTTTGTATTTCTTTAAAATTCCTCAGTGAATCCGTCTGGGCCTGGGCTCTTTGTAGGTAAGGACTTAATTACATTTTCAATTTCATTGATAGAAATTGGGTTATTCAGCAGTTTTATATCTTTTTGACCCAGCCTTGGTGCTTAATATGTTTGTGGGAATCTGTCCATTTCTTCTGTGTTATCAAACCTATGAGAGTAGAGGTTTTTTAAATAGGTGTTGATGATCTTCTGTATTTCTACAGGGTCTGTAGTGATTTCGCCTTTTTCGTTCCTTATTGCATGAATTTGAGCTTTTTCTTTCCTTTTTAAAATTAGGTTGGCTAGGGGCTTATCAATTTATTCCTTCAAAGAACCAACTCTTTGATTCATTGATTCTTTGGATTTTTTTTCTTCGTCTCTATTGCATTAATTTCTGCTCTGATTTTTATGATTTCCTCCCTTCTTTTGGCTTTAAACTTGACTTCCTCTTCATTTTCTAGATGTTTGAGGTGTAGCATCAGGTTGTTTATTTGTATTTGTTCTATTTTCCTGAGCTTAACACAAATTATTTCCTTTTTTACAAATGATGGTAATGTTATATAAAACGTAGAAGAAATATTGTGGAGAAATCCTTTGATAAGCCATTTCTAGTAAGTTTTAGTATTTAATCAATGACTTTAATCTCCTTATGAACAAGCGTGGCGCGTGCACAGTGGGCTGGTGATGGTGGTGGTGGTGGTGGTGTCCCTGTAACCATCCTTTCTGTGTTGCCTGAATTTTTTCCATATACTATCAGACATACATAATAGTCTGTAAAGATCAGAAGTCCTCATGCAGACACTGAACGGGAGATTTTTTAAAAAAATTAATTGGCAAGGAAGCTGAATTAGATGACTTGTCTTTTCCAACTTCAGGCCTTAATGATTTAATCCTTTCCTCCTTTTTCTCCCTTGTTTGCCTGCCTGCCTGCCTGCTGGCTAGGGATTGACCCCAGGATCTTGTGTGGGCATGGCAAGTACTCCACTGTGAGTTGCAGCTGGAACCCTCAAAACACTTTTGAAAACGGTGTTAAGTGTAGTCAGTGAGATACAGTGGCTGCAGATGTTTGTAAACTTCAGTTTGTGTGATCGAAATCATTATCTAGCAATCTCATTTTTATGGTCAAAATATCCCAATATGATATGTATGCCTGTTAAGTTTCTTTTTCACTTATTTGAAAATGATCAGCAAGCTACCTTTTTTTTTCTTTCCTTTTAAAGAGGGGGGAAAAAAACAAGGAAAATAAAGCAATAAAATCAATCAAAATAAACCAGAATAACTGATACAGGACTTCAAAAACTTTTGAAATTAACAGTAGTTACCATAATGGCTTTGTTGTCTTCAAAATAGCTGCAGATAGGTTCAGGCATATTCAGTATCAAACAGAACAAGTAGAAACAAAAACAAAACAATGAATGCAATAAAGAACCTCAAAACAAGCTGGTAGTAAATACATAATGGCTTCCATAACGTCTTGCTATCTTTCAAATAGCTGCACATGCCATCAGAGTTAACATAAAGGAAAGGGAATAAACCCCAACCCAAAAGAAAAAACAATGAAAATGATATGATTTTGGGGTAGGGGGTAATCTCTTGTAGTCTGCGAATGGTGCTGACTCGCAGAGAGAGGCTGAGAGAGAGGCTTGGGTCTGGCTTTCCGCCTGCTGGCAGAGGCCCACACGGCCCACATGTGGGGCCTGACTCTCTCCCCCTACCAACAAGCTACCTTTAAAGAGATACAGTAAAAACTTGACTGTAAAGATGGCTTAAGAATGGTTTGATTAAGTAAATGTTTTCTTTGTACTTCTGCTACTGTAACTAACTGTAGAGGCCAAAAGCTTAGCATTTTAAAAATCTACTTTAGGCAGATACCTATTAGGGAAGTATCTTTCATTAAGGTAGGTTGTATCTTCGTCATTGTGGTTATATTTTGAAAAGCCATATTTTATATTCTTAAATGAAAATCTATTGCAGACATCAGCAGATTAAATATAGATAACTTTTTTGGCTTATGGAAAAATAAATGTGTGATTCTCAGAGGAACTCTGAACCTCTTTATAAAAGAGATGAATTTAAAGGTTGAGAAGCACTGATATGAATAGAACCAAGGACTGTTTTTTTTTTAAATTTTTTTTTTTTAGAACTGGTTTTTAATAGGTGTACAAATGTGCTTGGGGTCTACAACTCTGTTAAGCATCTCAGTCAAATCAACACACCATTAGTTGCAGAATGGTATGTTCATTTAGTAAAATGATCATCTTTATCCAGGATAATGATAATTATTTTTCTGATTTTCTTTAGGTGGAATAAAGATTTCATGTATCAATTTACCTATAGTGCTTTTTTCTGCTTTAAAAATAACTTTGAACTATTGAGATAGATGCATTTAAAATATTGTTACTATAATTCACTATAATTTGAAGTAAACAACAAGGATAATTCAAGAAATTCAGAGTTAAGAACATACAGTTTTCCATAAAAAATTTTGAGAAGCACGTTAAGTACATGTACATCAACAGGCTGACTGTTGGATCATTTAATTGCAGTTATAGTAATAATCTAGAATTGACATTTTGTACTGTGTGAAGCACATATATTTTTGACATGAAAGAGAATTACTAATATTCAGGAAATAGATTGTTTAGATTGATGTCTTGAATTGTTTACCTGTTTTAATACTAAAATGTTAACATACATAGAGGTAAGAACAAAAAGCCACAAATAAATTATCTACTAAAAGGGTCTTTAGTCACACATTTATTACAAATAGTAATTGTATAGTGTCTCATGAAATTGTGTATAATTAGTTTATAAAAGGAGATCAAATAAAATCTTTCAATCTTGTTATTTTGCTCAAAACAATAGAAAGGTAACATGGTAAGTAAACAACAATAGAGACAAACTAAAATTTCCTTCATTTTGCCATAAATCTGTTGGATATTCATTCCAACTACTTTATATAATAAACAATATAGTACAGTTTAATATTCTAAGTGTGTTTTCTATTTTCACAGCTAAATTTCTAGCCTGAAATTTCAAGTTTATTTTTATGTATCATTAAATATGAACTCTTCAAGGAACCATTTATGGTGTCTAGTGTAACTTTTCCTTTTAGATCGGTGATGGTGACCATTTTAGTGCTTTCAGTGGTAACAAGCAGCCGCCATCACTGTTGTGGATTAAAGAGAAACCTGAACCCTTAAAAGTTAAATTTAATATTAGTCTTCTAATGAAATAATGAGATGGTAAGATTAGAATTTTTGAGGAATTGATCTTCCCTTCCTCTAGTGCTGACAATTTTACAAATATGATTTAAATGTCTTATGATTTATTTTCAGTCTTTGCATAGACCTGTAAATAAATAAATAGGCTGGTAGAAGAAAACTAAAAATAATTCTTTTGAGATGATTTCAACTTTTTTTGTGTTTTTATTTACTTTGAAAACTATCAACTGAGGTGAGCATGGTAATGCATGTTTATAATCCATCTGTTTCAGGGGGACTGTGAGTCTGAGGCTAGTCTGGACAGCTTAGCTTGACACAGTCTCAAAATAACAAAGGTCTGGTTACTTAGTGAAAACACTTGCCCAACATGTGTGAGTCTGAAGTTCACAAAATAAAACAAAACAAAACAAAACAAAATGAGGGGTCAAGTGTAATCAGTTTCCATTGTGGAGTTCATAAAAATCGTCTTAGTGGTATAATAACTTTATCATTGACTTCTTGTATTTCCAGTTTCCCTCCAAGCCTGTCAAGTGGTATGGTCAGCATCTAGGGATAGGTTTGGCTAGGGTACCAAATGTGTAGGAACACCGAACATCTCATAACCATCCTCTGCGGGTTTGTTGACTGCTATCTGACACGTTCAGTCCATTTGTGTGCTGGAGTCGTGCGGCTCTTCGGGCAATGGGAGAAAGCATGGATGGTGCTGTAGTCATAGCAGTCATTGAAATGTGTTGTCTGATACTTAGAGGACAGAGGTACTATTTATGTGCTGCATGTTAGTTAGGTGCTCTTGGGAAGCTGAGTTCAGCTGAATCTTATAGAGGAAATCATCTAAGAATCGAAGGGAACAGTCAGTTTCATGTTGAAGAAAGAAATGAGACTTCAGCCTTTTAGGCAGCATCATTCAGTTTTCCTGTCACAGCGTAAACACTGAAATGGAATAAAATGTTTTGCTTTTTCCTAAGTTCTGTGTGCCTTGTTGTAGTAAATGTTTATGACAAAGTATTTCAGATACTTTATAGAGTTTTTATATGTTTATTTATAATAAATATATATTATATATTTATCTAAATATATCTAAATATTTATCTAAATATAAACACTATAGTGTTTATATATTTATTATTCCTTTCCATTTATCCATTTTATTCTTTTAAGTGTGAGTTTGATCGCAATAAATATTTCAAACAAATAATCCTGGAGGTAGAGAGAGGGTGTAAAAAGGAGGTTCACATATGAGGTGATTGAGCCAGAGTTCATAGAAAAGATAGCTGAGCAAATGAGTATTTTTAGACTGAGGAAAGTTAAAAACTGCTCAGTTAAAGTAACTTGTAATAACTGATTCAGAGCAAATGTGAATGTTTGAATTACTTGTAGGTATTTAAAATTTGTAAAAGTATTTTCTTAGTGAACATAGTAGCTTCATGGTTGCTGTTCTTTTCTAACCTTGTGTCTTCTGTCCTCTAGGTGGTATCACGGAAAACTTGATAGAACCATAGCAGAAGAACGCCTTCGGCAGGCGGGCAAGTTTGGCAGCTACCTTATAAGAGAGAGTGACCGGAGGCCGGGCTCCTTCGTGCTTTCCTTTCTCAGCCAGACAAGTGTGGTCAGCCACTTCAGGTGAGTCTTTGCTCCTGTGAGGGGCCACACAGTGCAGCTGTCTGATGCAGTACTCATGAATGTACTCTGCTTTCACAGAGGCAGATGGTTCAGTGACATTTCAGTAATAGAAAAAAATCTTGTTTTCATTTAGATGATTTAATCAGTGATTTAGAGTTAGACGCTATTGAAATGTTTACTTTTTTGCTATAAATATTATTGGTCATTACTGTGCTAATCCCCAAATATATTTATCACTTTTAAAAGTACAAATAAACTTTGGAGACTACGAAGTAGCAGAAGTATAGAAAACACTTTTAAAAAAAAGATTTCTGCCCATTGTTCATTTTACAAGTGCCATTTTAGCATTTTGCAGACATGCATCTCAGAAAAGAGAGACACCGATTCTGAAGTATGGGCATCAGAATCTGTATATATATATATGCACGTGATTTCATTTTTATGGGAGAAATTGAAGAAGTATTATTTAGAAAGAAGGTACTTATTCCAAAAGTTTTAGATTTTAAAATAAGCTAGAATACTATCATACTTCCTATATACACATTTGTAAGAATAATTCCACATACAATTTATTAATATTATAATTGAACATTTGAAATTGCAACTAAAATTTCTTTTTTTTTTTTTTTTTTTTTTTGTCTTTTTCCTTTTTATCGGTACCGGGGATCGAACTCACGACTGCCTGCTTCCAAGGCAGGCGCTTATGCCGCTGAGCTAAACCCCCAGCTCTGCAACTAAAATTTCTAATTTAGTCTTAACTATGTAGGGTGAGCAAGCTATTGAAGGACAAATTTTTAAATATTTGAATTATATAATTGAGGCCTGTAAGTTTGATGAGTATTTCAAGTCAAATGCATTGTATATACACATATATATTTATTTAGAAAGAAACAACCTGAAGAAATTTGTTCATGGTTGAGCGATCTTTTTAAAATCATAGAGGTGTATATATAAAAGCAAAAATACGAAATTTACAGATATGTACATTCTTTATAAGACTTGTGTTTTAAAGTTAGTTCTAGGGGCTGGAGAGGAAACTCAGCAGTAGAGTGCTTCCCCATCAGGCACAAGGATCTGGATTCAGTCACAGTATCACATGGGGGAAAAAAAATGAGCTGTGAAGATTTTCATCGTATACTATGTTTTCTTCCTTTCCGTAGGATTATTGCTATGTGCGGGGATTACTATATCGGTGGAAGACGTTTTTCTTCACTGTCAGATCTAATAGGTTATTACAGTCATGTTTCTTGTTTGCTTAAAGGAGAAAAACTACTTTATCCAGTTGCACCACCAGAGGCAAGTAAAATATGAATGAACTATCTCTAAACTACTTTACTTTAGTAATGGATTTCGCTCCTATTCCATTTCTTACAATCTTTATTATAATTAAATAAATATTTCTTATATTAAATTTTAATCTTAGTTCTAATGTCAGAACAAAATCGACAACTTCTTTAAAAAACGGTTTTTCTGTAATAGTCTATGTAACTAGATATTTTAAATAATTCTCTATGTTTATAGCCTAACAAATATTTTTGAGTGTGTAAGAAAAATTACTGATTTCATGGTGCTAAGTTACTGTGAAATGAAGTTACTGTGGAAGTTGAAAGGCTTTCTGTATCATTGTAGAAAAATTAATTTCTAGGTTTTGTATAGTGTATTTCACTAATGTTACTGGATAAAAAGTACTGTTCATACTTTGTTTATAAAAACAAAAACCTGAGCATAGAAGATTTCTAGGCTCTAGGTATTAATAGTGGCAAAAAAATTAATTAGAATGATCCTATCCTATGGTGTATATATATAATGTGGCTTTTTTTTTTTTTTGACTTTACCTTTGTGTGGACATATTGTTTTGACTTTGAACAGATTTTTTTCATTGTTTTTAGCCAGTAGAAGATAGAAGACGTGTACGAGCTATTCTACCTTATACAAAAGTACCAGACACTGATGAAATAAGGTATTTTACAGTATTTCTTATATGTAGGAATTTGAAAGACCTTGATATTGAAGATTTGTTCTTGGATTAGAAAAGTTTTGAAATTTGAGGAAGTAGCATATGGCAAAGTAAAAAAGCCTTTTAATAATCGAGTCTATTGTCTCATAGTTCAAAATTAAAGATTCAGCTTAGGGTGAGCACAATGACAATGGCAGGACACTATCTCTGACATGGTGGAGAGTGATGTCTTATAATTTGTACTGTATTTTAGGATGTATCACTTCATGGCATTTATGCCTCAACTATACATGTTAGTGAAGTGATAAGCTTCTGCTTTACATAATGGGTGAATGCTTTCCAGTGCTGAGAATGTTACAGACTATCTGGACATGGAGGCATATGTCTGTAATGCTATTGCTTAGGAGACTGAGGCAGGAGGGGTTGCCTGGATTATGCAGTGAAACCAATTCTTTAAAAAAGGAGAAGAGAATAGCATATAACAACTGTGGAACATGATAGTTTTTTGGTTTTATTATTTGTGTATAATTCAGTCCTTTATATAATTTGATAAGCAGTATTGCCTTTCTGTAAGCTGACTTTTCAACAAAAATTTTCCTACCTGTGAAATGTTAAGAGTATTTCTGAATAATTACATAATTTGTGGAAATGCAGTTATATAAGAACAAAGATTTCAGAATCTGAATCACAAAATAGTAATTCTGTTTTCATGATTGTCTTCAAAATAAAAGTTTCTCAGCTAATTTTTATTGACTCACCTTTATTTGTGATCTTTGGTGGAAAGGCTAAAAAAAAAAAAAGAGAAAGGAAGAAATACAATTTATAAAGGCAAACAGTGGATCTACAAATCAAGAAGTTTTAGATAATTTGTAAATTCCCAGTGGGGTCATGTAAGACAGCAGTTCTCATGGTGTGATTCATGTAACTGGAGCTCTTCGAGATCCATTGAGAGGGTCTTTAGAGAAGGAAATACAGTCAGCACTGAGGAAATGGAGAAGTTCTGTGCTCTGCCATCTGCTAGCTGGAGACCTACGGCAGCCAGTTGTATAATTTCAATTATTCAGGTCCAAATGGCTGAAAAACTGTGCAATATGGAAATTAAATCTGAGGGCAGAAAAGGAAGCTGAGACAGAATGTGCTAGATCAACCATGGGAAAGAAAGAAGAGGGAAGAGAATGCTTCTCCCAACTTGTGTTCTATTCAGAAAATCAGTGGATTGGGTGGTGTGCATCCCTCCAACCCCACATTGAGGAAGGAGAGTTGGATACTCCAGAGCACTCTACGGAGTTGCGGGTTAATTTCTGCAGCAACACCTTCGTGTACAACAAAGAAATAAAGCTTAATCGTGACACTGGCTCAATCAGTTTGACACATAAATGAACCATCACACTCCATGGGATCAAATTTATTTTCACAATATATTAAGATATCATTTGCCTTTTTCACTGTGACTTGTGTGATGAGAGTGGGAAAGCCTTCCATGTATCTTAGAAGTCATGGCAGTTCGGTGAAAAAAATGTACTGTCCTTCATTGTGACACACTTGCAGTTAGTCTAAATAATTTTGCTTAATGTTCTTGATAATGCATTAAAATATTAAACATCAGCCTTTGACCACATCTTTCTAATATTGTGTGTAATGCAAAGGGAAATTTTATACACACACACACACACACACACACACCTGCTTTGTACTAAAATTTGGTGTCTTGAGAAGAAAGTGAATTGAAAGCTAAACTCTGCTGCTTTTGTGCACACCACTTTTTTACAAGAGGAGTGTAGATGCAACTCTGGGGTTTTGAGTTCTTTTTAAAATGTAGCAAACTGAAACTGTTATTTCCATGAAAATAACTGCCGTGTTTGTTGCCAGTAACAAAATTTGAGCTTCTGAGCAAGAAAAACTAGAATTTTAGGAACCCTGAGTTACTGGTGGTTATCAAGAGCTGGAGTGTCACAGTTGACTTCTGGGTTGTGGTCATGATAGCAGAGAGTGAAAGATGTTGGTAGTGTATAGTAATGTGTTAACAACTAGAAGATCTGCATAGCTCAGTGAACTAGTATTTTCTAAATGACCAATGCTTGATGTTACAAAACTGGGTAGAAGATTAAAAGTGTCAAGTAGACCAGTGGCTGTTATTGAAATACATACATATTCTTGATATGTAGTTTTAGATTCTTAGTACAACTGACCTCTAAGAAGGTACCAGCTATTTTGACTTTTTGGTGTAGTATCACAGAAGACTATAATTTATTTGGAAAGGCTATTAAAATATCCTTTCCACAGGTGCATATTTGTGTAAAGCTGGGTTTTCTTCATATGCTTCAAACAAAAAGACCAAACTTTCATAATAATAAAATGAATGTAGAGGCACACAAGTATCCATAAGTTGGCATTTAAGCCAGACGTGAGATTTAAAAAATCTAAAACAAAATACTATCACTAAACCTATAAAGGTTACAGTTATTTTTCATCTGCTTTATGTAATGAGATATAAAGGAATCAGTGAATATTTAAGAACATTAATGTGTTAGTTTCTATATGATAAATATCAATAGTAAATATAATCCATACTGTAAAAGGTGTTTGGTTTATCAATATTTAAGACTAAAAGACATCCTTACCTCTCCCTACTCCCAATTAAGAACTGCTGGCCTAGGAAGAGAGGACTTTGAAGAAGAATCAGAATATTTACATGTTAATTTAGGTGTACTATAAATATGTATGAAGTCGTGAGTTTATTATTAAAACAGAAGCATATGAAGATAAATGAGAGTTAATGAAGCATTTTTGGCTTCTGTGAGAAAATGAATTTTAGATTATTTGTACTGGGAAGTTTTGTATTTATTTATTTATTTCTGTGCCATAAAGAGTTGGTATAGCAATACCTTGAAATTAAAAAATAAGAAAAGCAAAACTCTTTCCATTTTGACTAAGACATGAAACGTGTCCCTTTTCATTTCTGTTTTGTTCCTGTACACACTCATGATTTCTTGTTATGTGCTAGTGCTGTGAGGGTTGAGCCCGGGGCTTCATGTGAGCCAGCGAGGCTGTGTGCCACTGTGTGGCGGTGCAGCCCTTGGTCTGTCTTTCCTGGGTGGTTCTAGGAAGAAGTAGCTGACGTGATGAGGTGGTAATAATGTTCGCTGCTGTTCAGCTAGGGCATGATTCACCACCTCTAGGAAGGGTAGTAGAACCAAGAAGAGGGTAATATTCTGTGATGCTTCCAACACAGTGAAGTGCTGTGTGCAAATTTTATTCTTTGAAACATGTCCAAGAAACAGTGAAGTTCAGGATGCTCCAGAGAAGACAAAGCTTTCAACTGTGTAAGAAAAGACTTACTAGAACTTTGAGAACAGTAAGCCTGAAGGGAAAATTACTGACAAATATGTAACAGATAGGGTTATGGATAAATGGTCAGTGATAGTACTTGACCAGTCTGGAAACTCAATGTGCAGAGGCATTTTGTCAAGCCTGGAAAGAAAACTAAGAAATTATTGCTGATTTTAGATTGATGTCATGCAACTTTCTGCTCCCATGGTAATGTGGAGGCTAAAATCATCTAAGTGGTAATGGAAAGAAATTAAGTTGTGCATGCATCTTTCTGCCCTGACAGATTAAAATTAAAAACCAACTTCCTGTTTTCTAGTAGTACATTGATACTACCTTCAGAAGGAGAATGCTGTAATTGTTGAATGAATTAAATACCCCTAATATTTTTTTGTAATAAAAATGTTAACCGACATAAACATCTACATAATAAAAAGTTGAAAATGTTTATAAACTTCTCTAAACTATGTCTTTTATACATATAGTGTATTTTTTATTTTGCATTTAACCTACATCTGAAAACTGTGACACTGATAAATTTTTCAATTCACTTTCCTTGAGGTATTTCCTTAAAAGCTTCAATACATATATAATTACTCTTTGCAAAAAGTCTAATTTAAATCTGATAATAACCTAGCAATGTAGATGACATAAGTACCCATATCAAACTCATTTTACCAAGGAGGAATTAAGATTCCACTTATGAAAGGTCTTCATTGTCATAGATAATGCCAGAATCAGGACAAGAATTGAAGGTATTTGGTATAATCCCATGATTTCTCCACTATAGTGTTTTCCTGTCTTATGGAATATGACTGTTTAAATTTCCGTGTTTAAGATTTTTAATTCTAATAAGTTCATAATTGTTATTTTAGTTTCCTAAAAGGAGATATGTTTATTGTCCATAATGAATTAGAAGATGGATGGATGTGGGTTACAAATCTAAGGACAGATGAACAAGGCCTTATTGTTGAAGACCTTGTAGAAGAAGTGGTAAGTTGTTTTTCTTCTGAATTTCAAGTTCTAGCGCCCCCCCCCCCCCAATTTGGAACATGTACATAGTATGGGTAACTAGCTATGAAGAAGTTTCTTTTATGAAAAAAATAATTCATATGTATAAGAATTTTTATTAAAAGCATATTTATTTTTAAAAACAGACAAGCTACCATGTTACCTTATGTAGCTATCAACTTTCAGAAAGCTTTCCCGATTCTCTGTGAAGTAAAAATGTCTTAAATTTGTGACTGTTTTCAACCTTTTTTGTCTACTTAGTCTTTCTCATAAATAAAATTATGTCTAAATAATTATAATGTTAAATAGTTATACGTTTGATTTCAGATACTGTATTTTCTAAAAATATATAATTTTTCATTAATCTTGGAAAACTTAAACATTACACAGATATCTCATGGTTCTGCATTTTGCATATTCCCTTTGTTTTTGTGACCACCACAAGGCACATTAGTAGTCATCATAGCACACAGTAGAAGTTGTCCTGTGTGTGCATATATAGATAGCAGGTCAGCATTTATATGGCATTTATACCTCAGATGCAATACTCAGTACCACATTAAACGTTATAATTTTGAATTTCACCCGTAACCTTTCTTTTGTCTAGCATGATGTGGTGCCTTTCTGTGATATTTTATGACCCTCAAAGCTCTTATTTTTAAATTATTTCCTGGGTCTGGTAGTATGTTAAAACCTGTGCTTTGATTATGATACCAGAAATCCATCAGTAGAAAATGTAATTTTATTTGCTATCATTTCTCTTATTCTGCCTGTTCTTGCAAGGGTGTTTTGATTCACAGAGATAAAACATAGTGAGGAAAGGTAGACGGCGTCAAGGAAATGTTGTGATACACTGGGTCCTTGTAGTCACACAGTGTGCCTTAGTATTCTTAGAGTAATAGTTTGTATCTAACGCTAGGAGAGGAGGTATTCTATGTAGGCAATATGTCCTCATGCAGAAGCATCTTTCTGTCTGTGGTGCTTGTCCCACAGAATTTCTTGGTTAGAATTTTTATGGTGGGTTTCCCTGTCTGCTATGTTGCCTTCTTCCCTACCCTGATGATTTAAAGGAATTAAAGTATAGTTGAACTTGAGCTCTTAGAATTCTGGATTAAACTGAACAAAATAAACTTTTATAAGGATAAATGAAAAGTAGCCACCAGCTGCAGCAAAACAGTGAATAATAGTCCAGTCTAGGCTAAGGGGATGTTCCTTAACAGAAATGCTATACAAGGAATGGGAGGAAAACGCAGGGTGATTGGGCAGTGTGACGCAGTCACAAAGGTGAATTACAGTCACACTTTGAGGAGTGAGTGTCATTGGTAGTGCATTCCTTGTGGGCTGAAAAGCTACTGGGTATCTAGAGAGTGAAGATGCTTCAGGTCTGTGTTTAGTTACTAGATTTAAGGAATGTCCCGCTCTAAAATTGTAATTGCTCTTCTCCAAGCACATCTGTGCCTTTCTGCTTTAACTTTAAGATGTGTGCTGTGGGAAGGGGTTTAGTTCTGATACAGAATGTAGTGAGTGTGTCCCCATTGCCTAACTAGTGTCTGGCATTACTAAGCCTGCAGGGGATGTGTCTCCCGTCCAGACACGTCTGTTCTGCCAGATGTCTTATCAGTATGAGATCCATTCAGATGTCACCTGGGCCAATTGTGTTGGCACACACCTGTGATCACAGCACTCGATAGGCTGAGGCAGGAGGATCACCATGTGTTTGAGGCCAGCCTGCACTGCATAGTGAAACTGTGTCACAAAAACCAACCAACCAACCAACTGAAAAAAAGAGGTCACCCGTTGCACAGATTTATGTCTGTTTATTCTCTTAGGCTAACCTGTTTCCTGTTGTGTTTCTATAGGCTTTTCTTAGTTCTCTGTGTCATTACATTATATACAGTGAATTTATTGTGTAATCTCTTCTCTTAGAGGGCAGTGATAGTGCTGTTGATGTGTAGAGCTGGTTCTTTTATTGTGCTGCTTTGGGCATAGTAGCTAGGCATTTATCTAGTGTTGAGATTTTAGTCTGATTTAATGAGCAAAGACCAAATGGAGAGAAGTAAATCCGTGTGGAGCTGAACCATTTTTCTGTTGTTTTCTTCATTATTCACTGACAGCCCAGTGCCAGGTACTGCACTAAACACATTTTGGTGGAAATTTAGTGAAAAATATGTACCCAGCCTTGTTCTGGAATGGATAATGTGATTGTATCTTAAAAGACTGGAACATAGTATAAAGTAAGGTAAAATTCAACAGATGATAAAATGACGATATCTTTTATATTCAAAGTGAAAATTATTATCACTTTTAGGGGGGCAGAATGTCTTATTCAAGATGTCATGAGTTGTGGATTAGGTGTTATGTAATAGATTAGTAGTGTGGAAAGGACATTCTCATAACTACAGTAATGAGACACAAGTTACACTGTGCCATAAAGCAGACTGACAGGTGGGCGGTGACGTGTGGGCACCTGGAGAACAGGCAGCGTGGGGCAGGAAGGACACGTGTGGGTCGGTGGTGAGGCAGACTCTGGAGGTGGCGGAGAGGTTTCACTGAGTTCCCTGGCTGTGGTTTTTCTCTAGCGCAATGCACAGCTGTGGTTGCACCTGGTGAATGCTGATGAGCACAGGGAGGGACACACAGCTAGGCTAAAGTAAGAGGATGGGACCTGAGCCATGGCTGCTGGCTGGGGTGAGAGCATGGCGGAGTAGTGGAGAGAGTGCTTAAAGGGAATCTCTTCTCCCACATATGTGTAAACGTGAAGGGCACGGTGGAGTTATGTTTGAAGACATGATTTTTATGAATTTTAATAAAATTTTTAATAGTTTTAATAGTTACTTATATAAAAAACTGTCTTAATGTCTTCTCTTTAGGGCCGGGAAGAAGATCCACATGAAGGCAAAATGTGAGTTTGTGTTAAGTATCACAAGAAGAGAAATACAGTATGAACTTACTGATTGGAAACTGACCAAAACGTACTTTAAAATGGTTTCGGACTGGCTTACAAATTTCTGTTTGGTTTAGAGAATTGCTGTGTAAATATTTTCTTAAGGACTCAGCAATAAGGTCTTATTTAAATAAATGATGGCCTATACTTATATTCTCCTTATATATCACCAAACTAAGACTTTCTGGTAAATATTACATTAATAACATTAGTGAATGTCACAGTTCCTCACATCTCTTTATTTTCATGTTGATTAGTCATAGCATTTGTGTATTGGACCATCTCTTGGAAATTTTTCACTCAGGGTTTTTGTTTGCATGAAAATATTTTATCCTAGGATCATAGTTTTTCACAATTTTAGTAAGATTCATCAAGGTATTTCTTTTAATAATCTTTTAAGATTGGTTTACATGTATGAGTTTTCCTTAGAAGATCTTAACTGTCAATTCCAGTTCTATCTTAGATTATTTATCAACTGTTCATGTAATAATTTTTAAAATAGAACACTTTTTCTTAACAGTCCTGAATACATTTATGGATGGAATTTAAGGCTTACCTCAATTGTCCTTTTTCTGCTTTCTGTTCTTTAGAACACAGACACATTAAACAGAAATCCTGTAACTAGTCACCTCAGTTCTCTGCCCTTCCTTAAGTAGAATATGTGTTTTCTGAGTTCATTCTTCTTGCGGTTCTTGTACCTGCAAGACCCCATCGGCAAGAGTGTACCGTTAGTGTGATGCCCTCCCACCTCCTTCCAATATGAGGATTTACAAGTCCTGTTCATGCTTGAATAGTCAGAAAATGTAAGAAGATGAACCTGATTTGGTATTACATCATGATGGTCTTTGTTATTTTCCTTATTTGACAGATATCTAGGTACATAGAACCATTTCTTTCCTCTCAGAGATCAACACTGTAGGAGCGGTGAGAAGTGGCAGCAAAAACTCACTCTTGGTGTTAGGAAAGGCTGTGGGAAATAGAAAACTAGAAAATGTTTGTCTTTCTTAAGGTGACCACCTGGTCTACTCACATAGAATGTCAGTTTACTATTATAAAATCTTCCTAAATCTCAAGACAAATCACAAATCTGCATTTTAATCCCTATTTCATGTAATACTATAGATGTATCTTTAAATGTTCAGGTCAGGCACCGGTTTTCTCAGTTGGAAGTTTAAATCCCAGGTTCATGGGGAAGGCTTTTCTTATTTAATACCTCGTCAGTCTCCCCTCTTCCTAACTTTATAATTTGCTTCCTTTTTGATGTTTAGCATAAGCTAGATATGCATTGTTGGTTGGTTTTGGGCAGAAGCTGTGACAGTAAAGTCTCTTAAGTCGCATCAGTGGGTTTCTGTTTTGAGTAAGCAGGTAGGACATTTACATGATGGAGATCCCAAGCCCTGCGACTCTTGTCTCTGGACTTGTTTCTGGAGCGTGTATCTTCTCAGTCCTTAGGTAATACATCCCATTTCAGCTGCTTGCGCTTCTCACTAGCACCCAGTGCAGCTGTGACCTTCTGGTGGAACTCCCCAAGTCTCTAACCTCACATTCTCGTTTCCTGTAATCAGAATGCTTTCTGTGCAGCAAGATCTGTAAATGATTCTCCATCATCTTTATGTGGCTGCGCTTAAAAATTCGTTGTATGAGTTGACACTTGTGTCTTTTTCTATCCCTGTTATTTTTCACTTTTAGTTTTGCATGCTGCAGGTTATAGGTCTTTAGATAAATGGTACCAGTTGTCCCCCCACATTTTTTTCTTCATTACCTAGACCAAGATTCCCTTCTGTTTATTCATTCACTTACCATTATTTACTGAATGATAAATCACATATGTAATAAATTTCTATGTGATAAAACATTCAGTAAATATTCTTCTTTCATCTTTTTCCCTGCAGACCCTAAAACATTGGTAGTCTTCTGTTATTTCCAAAATAGTCTTATACATACCTGTCACACTGCTTTCTGTATTTTCTGTCTACGCTGTTTTTAGAGCTATACATGATTAATGTCTTTTTTTTTTTTCTTAAATAGGTGGGGCAAGGACTTAGCATTTTTTCTTTTTCTTCTATAACTCATCAATCCATGTCTGTGGATTATATAAATTTTACATAGGAGTAACTTCAGAAAATAATGCTGCTATTTAGCTATAGGCTAGCTTACACTTGTTAACTTCTAAACCACTTTAGAGATGGTGGCATGTTTGCCATTTTGGCATATTTGAAAAAAATTAGGGTTGCGCTTGGAGTTCACCTTGTCAACTCTTGCTCAGAATATAGGAATTCTGCTCTAGCATGTGTAGCCAATGATCATTTAAACTGCATTTGCAATTCTATTGGGAGTCTTCCTACCTTTCAAGGCAGCCTGTTCTGCTTATGTGATTACTTTTCATTATTCATAATTGGAACTGGAGGTCTGGGAAGTCTTGAGTTAGTGAGTTAATGGTTGGAGTAGTGTAAAAAAGAAATTAAGTGAAAAGGTAAAAATTTATCTATATTTTCATACTCTTCACCATTAATAGCATGAGTAATTTAAAGCAGTATGAGCAACTGCTAAACTTGTAACATTATGCTTAGAGCACTTTGATAGGTTTAATCTTACATACTTTCCAATTAGGGCTTAATTATGGCAAATAATTGTAGACTCTAAGAATATGTACAAAGGTAGAGAAGTAATCTAGAAATTTCAGCCTGGCTTTGAAGTGTGTTAATTAGCAAAATAGGTAATGTGCCTTGGGTAAACAAGAGACTTTATGTACTTTAGTAGTTTCTTAAGCATGTCATTTTATATGAAAGTAGAGTTTAAATACTTGAGTTTTTATAATGCTATGTGTCTTGAATATAATGCTATTTATACTGATTTGTAAAGGCTTAATTTTAGAATACAGGATATAAAATACCTATCAAGTTTGATAAGCTATTAGGTCCAATAGAATTACGAATATTCTTTTTTTCTTTTAGTTCTCAGTATTATTTGCTGGCTTTTAATAAAGTATGCATCAACAATTTGATTATATTGGAAGAGAGAACTTAGCACATATCCTAAGAAAATTCACCTTGAGAGAGACAAGAGAAAAATACTGTTTTCTGGGGACACAGTTTTAGAGTGGGCTCTGCCAGTACTATCTTCCCCAAAGAAAGAAGAGTTAACAAGTGAAGCATATAACAATTAGATATCACCAGGATTGAAGGCAGTGTTCTTTTTATATTGGTGACAAATATGGAAATAGTAGTTTTTATTTGGTAGTCCCTAGGTTTTCTCCATTATGTTGAAAATAATCATAATATATTCATGGAAAGTAACATGAATATAATAGGAATGAAATATTTGACCCTGTTGCATTTTATTTATTTCATATGTCTGTTGAATTGCAGCTTCGTTGGTTATTTAGTTTTGATCATATGACAGCAGTGTAAAGGCATTTTCATTTATGTGTGTTTGTGTGTGTGTGTGTGTGTGTGTGTGTGTGTGTGTGTATGTGTATGTGTATGTATATATTTTGTTCTCTTTTTAAGATGGTTCCATGGGAAGATTTCCAAACAAGAAGCTTATACTTTACTAATGACAGGTACTTTTTATATTCACTTGTCTTCTTAAAAATGTTTTTATTTAAAAAGAATAAAAAAAAGTCACCCATTTATCATATACTGTTTACCTTCAGCATCCAGTTATCATTTATGTATATTAGAATTTCTTATCTAGTGCTGAGAAGCTGGTGTTTTTAGTAAAAATATACACATAGCTCAAAATTCCAGAAAGTATATTTTCTTTAACCCTATTCTCGGTCCCTGTTTCGTCCCCAGATGTAATACCCAATAACAGTTTCTTTTCCTAGAAGTTTTTAGTGTCTGTGTATATTTCTTTTCCCTTACATCTATACACGCTCTTAGGAGCATGCAACATACTTTTTTCATGTTAGGAGATCTATTGGGAAATTGTCCTGTATGTGCAGGTATAAATTTTCAGTATTTTTCCTCAATGGCCATAAGCTTTCTGATTTAAATACCATGATTTACCAGGTCCCAGTTAGCTATTGGCTGTTGTCATTCTTTTGTTGTTGAAGTGCAGAAAATAAATGTTCTTGTGTTTATCTTTATACACTTGTGGAATTATATGCTTTACACGTGTGTAAAGTATCAGTTTAACATTTCCCAGCACTCTTGGGTTTACAAGGAAATGATTAAAAACTAACCTGTATCTTTGGGTTTATATTTAAAATGAAAATCATCCTGTTTTTGTTTATGCTAACTAAATATCTCACATTGAACCAATACAGATTTAATCCATACTGTGTTATTTAGAAGTTTTAATCCCTCCCTCCCTCTCTCTCTTGCTCTCTCCCTGGCTCTGGCTCTCTCTCACTCTCCTGTCTCCTCTTTCCTCTCTCCTCTCTCCCTCCCTTCCTCCCTTACTTCCTCCCTCTCCTCTCTCTCCTCTCTTTCTTCTCTCCTCTCTTTTCTTCTCTCTCCTCTCTTCTCTTTCCTCTCGTCCTGGGAATCAAACCCTAACCCTGGCCCTGAAGAAGTCTTAATTCTTTAAAATTTGTTGGCTAGTTTATATATTTGGTAAACGAACTTCTCATAATGATTACTAGAAATGTGATCTGAATTGTTTTAAGGCATATATTTTTGCATTTTAGATTAATACTTCGCTTTTTTGAATGATTTGAGTCAGTTTTTTAAATACTTATTAACCACATTAGTAAGCTCAAAATATAAGCATGATATTGCTATATGGCAAGTAACACTAACCAGATGCTAAACCATAGGAATGAGCCATCAGCTCCCAAAGTGAGACCAAAAATACTCACTTTAATAAATTTATAATGTAGGTTTATATTTGGAACTTCTGTGAAGTACTTGATGCACTCACTCTTTTAGATGTGTAAACATGAAAAACAGCCAAACTTTAATTTCTTACATTAGTCTATATTCATGTGCTCTCATGAGAATCAGGTAAGACTTTCTCACTTGAAAAGTACACATAGCATGTATAATTTTGCATGTAGAGTATTTTTTTTATCATATTCTAGAAGAAGTAGAGTATCCTGTATTATTATCACCAAGATTTGACACTTTCATTTCAGCTTACATTATCTAGTCAGTTTACTTATATATTTAAGCCTTGAAGTTTCAGTTTAAAATTTTTTTTGCTTTTTGTCCTAACCATGAAGTTACTTGATAACAAGTGCTATAACCATATGATCAAAGTGTTAATAATTTGTAACAAATTACATCTGGTATTCAGTGTTCTTGGGTCTCCTCCCATGAATTCCAGTATTTTCTGTGTCATTAGGACTTAAATAGAAAAAAGACAAAGCATTTCATTTGTCAGTTAAATATATCAAAGTCCTATCTAACCGTATTATGAAAATATGTAATATATGGTAATTTTCTATAACATTGATACTGTTTTTCAAGATTATACCAGTTGAATCAAATATAGTATATGTATATTGAATTTAATATTGTCCTGAAATATTTTAATTGTTTTGAATCTACCTTTGTAAATCTTTGGTACTGTTCTCTTTTATCCCAGTCATTTTAGTTGCTAATTGGAAACACTGATAAAATATAGAGGATTCCTAGGCAAAGTTTAACTTATTTAGAATCTTCTTTTTGAGTGAATTTACAAACAGAATAGCATTTTTAGCTTCTGTTTCCTACGTGTGATTAGAATATTCTTTGCAAGTTAAGATGCATATCAACATTATAGACCAGAAGTTACTGCTACAAAATTACTGTTTATTTTTATGAACTATAGTACAGGTATAACCCCAGTAGTGTAGATGAGCATCATGGGTAGGGTGAATCACAAGGAGAATCAGAGAAAAAAGTAACTGTTTCCATTGAAAATTGATATATGTTTATGACTTTGAGTGTATTTTGTATTACTTAACACCTATTTTAAATTTGATAATTTGGAATAAAACTAACAACTTAAATTTTTTGCAGTTGGGCAAGTCTGCAGTTTTCTTGTGAGGCCCTCAGATAATACGCCTGGTGATTATTCACTTTATTTTCGGACCAATGAAAATATTCAACGATTTAAAATATGTCCAACACCAAACAATCAGTTTATGATGGGAGGCCGATATTATAACAGGTAAAATATGAACAGTTTCTATTTATTTTTACTTTGGCAAAAATAATCAAAATCTTAATATAATGGGTCAAAAATTATATATAAGTTCCTGAGTTTTAAAATATAATCTAGTTAATAGAAGAATATAATCTAGTTAATAGTCAAGAATTTGTGAGACAGTATCAGAATATGAATACAAATTAACTCGTTTCCTTCCAAAATAATATGTGATTAAAAAAATTTTTAAACAAGCTATTTGTAGCAAAATTTGGTAACTATGTATTATTTTCAAGAAAAGCAAAACATATAACCTAAGAAAAATACATTATATGTATATTTTTTAGTATTTTACATTTTATTGAAAAATTCTTTTTAGGAATATATTTTCAAGATTGTGATTAAAAAATTTTTTAAAAAAATTTTTTATTTTAAAGAGAATAAAACAAAAGAGAACAGAACAAAGCAAGTTAGAACAGAACAATGCAAGCAACACAACACTTCACAATGAGACAAAAATATCAACAGCTACCATAATGACTCTTTTTCTTTGAAATAGTTGAACATACCTTCATAGACAGTAATATATATATTTATAACAAAATAGTATAAAACCATTCAAGAGGATGAAAGCATTATAGGACTTCAAAACCAAATAACAAGAAATAAACAGTAGCTACTATAATATCTCATTTTCCTTAAAAAATTTGTTTATACCGTCACACTTAATAAAATCAAATAAGATACAACAGGATTGAACCAATCAAAACAAAAGAACACAAGCATGGTAGGACTTCAAAACAAGATGATAGTAAATCAGCAATGTTTGTCATAATGTCTTGTTTTCTTCAAAATAGCTGTTCATACCATCACACATAATAAAATCAAATAAAATAATAAAACCAATCAAACGAACAAATGAAAGCCTTCTAAGACTTCAAAGCAATATAATAGGAAATCATGATTGCCATAAATATTCAAAATAGCTACCCCTACCATCTGACAACATAAAATCTCACAAAACAAAACAGAATAAAGCCAAACTTAACAAAATTGTGTAAACAATGTGAGAGTTCAAGATAAGACAGTAAGAAATTGACAGTAGTTTCCACCTTTCCCTCCCAGGTGTTTCCTCTCCCTTGCTCTTACATTAACTTTTTTGGATTTGGATCCCATTAACTTCTGTTTCTTATGCTAAGATTCATGGGTGTGTGATCAAACTGTTTTGGTCATGAACATGATCTCCCTTTTGTCTACAGGAGCCTTGAGATTATTCTATTTTATAGCTGGGTAGCTTTCCACTGCATGAAAATACCATATCTTTCTTACCCATTCTGCAGTTGATGGGCAAGTTACTCTTCCTTTTTTTTTTTTTTTTTTGTCTCGTGTTACATGGAACAATTGTTTTCTCTCCTTTGATTTTCAGTCTTTCGAATTTTCTTTCCAGTGAGATATGTTTCTTGTATACAGTATATCTATGGGTCTTGTTTCTTGATCCACTTTCCATGTGTTTCTTTTTATTGCTGACCTGAGGCTGAGTTAATGGTTACAATCAGTATTGGTTTGTCTCTGCCCTGCTATCCTGTTGTTGGTCCTCCACCTTTCCCCTTCATTCAGTTGCTGTCTTGTTGGGCGATCCTCCTCTGTTGCTGTTCCTGCAACCATGGTCATCTTTATCTCTCTCTAGAATATTCTTTAGCATGGTTGGTTTGGTAGTGAGGAATTCCTTCAGTTGTTCTTTATCATGGAAGTATCTTATTTTTTCATGAATTTTGAAAGATAGTTTTTCTGGATAGATCAGCCTGGGTTGGAAGTTGTTTTTTTTTTAGGGTTTGAAACACTTTACTCCAAACTCTTTTAAACTTGATGGTTTGTGTGGACAAGTCTGCTGTGATTCTGATTGGTTTTCCTTTATAGGTGATCTGTCTCTTTTCTCTAAAGGCTTTTAATATTCTGTTCTTGTGCTGAATTTCTGGGATCTTGATTATTCTATGTCTGGGTGTAGATTTACTTTGGTTATGGCTAGTTGGAGTTGTATATGCTTCACGTATCTGCATGCCAGATCCCTTTCCCATGTTTGGGAAGTTTTCTTCTATTGTTTCTGTGCATATCCTTTTAATTTCATTTGTGTTAACCCCTGCTTCTTCATTGATACCTATCACTCTTAAATTATGCTTCTTTGCATCATCTTGCAGCCATTGAGTTGTTATTTCCTGATTCTGTGGTATTTTTAAGAGATCTTTCCTCTTAAAATCACTAGCTACAATCCTGTCTTCAAGATTTGAAAATCTTTATCTTCAGTCTCTTTCAAGCAGTTTGCCAGCTTTTGATTGAATTTTTAATTTCCTGCATCTCTCTTCGAATCTGTTTCATGCATTGCAATTCCTTTCTACATTCATTCATGGTTTCCATCATTTTCCTAGGCTCCTCTTTATTGTCTCTGTCTTCTTTAGACCTGCTGAACAATTCTTTTAGTATGTTTGTGATTTCTTCTTTTACCTGAGACTATTTCTGTTTTGACTGCTTTTACAGTCTCATGAAGTTGTTTCCTTACTTCAGTTGCTATCCTCTCAGAGATTTCAGGTGTGTGATTTCCGTTTTCTTCCATGGATGTATCGCCCAGACTTATAGTGCGAGGGCTAGAGGTATCAGTTTGCATTTTGCTCCTTTGTCTTGACATTCTCCTACGTTCCTCCCAACAAGCTGGTTATGGGGTCCCAGATACTTCCAATGTTGGTTGCTCCTAGGCAGTGTAGGGGGATGGGACAGGTACCTGAGTTCCTCTGATTTCAGATTTACAGTGAGGTAGCAGGGTGTGGAGTGGAGTTCTCCAGAGCTATGCAGCCTCAGTGAGGCCTCGCTGATGATCAGGGGTACATGTAGTTGGGGTTGGCTTCTCTCAGCCTGTGTCTACACTGGAACTCCCAAAATGGTGGCAGCCACACAGAGTGTGTTTGATTTTGCTAGTGGATGATGACTGTCTGAGGGAACCAAGTGCCTCAAGTGGTGGCCTATGGATGCCCAGGGCTTACCTGGCTGTGTGTCCCTGCTCCTGCTGGTTGCCTGCAGGAAGGCGCCTGCTGGTGTCAGCTCCCTGAAGGTGAAGGTGGATCTGCTGGTTCTCTCTGCCCACGCTGGTTGCCTGCAGGACGTGGCCTTTTGCTGGCAGTGCTCAACAGGCAGAAGTGAATCTGTTTGTCTCCTTTGGTGGCCTGCAAAGGGTGTGCAGAGGAAAGTGCCTTCCAGTGACAGCACCTGGCAGGCAGAGGCAGATTGCCTGGTTCTTTCTGTCTGTGCTGGGCATGTGGAGGAAAGGCCCTTCAGGTGGTGGCGCCTGGCCGGCAGAGATGGATCCTCTTCGGGTTCTCTGTAATCTTTTATCAGTGAGTCATTTTAATAGGGAAAAAAAGCTTCCTTTAGGTGTTACTTGAGAGTAACACAAATGTTAGCATGTAAGTGGATTTTTCTCAGGTTGGTGTTTCTGGTAGTCATGACTAATTACTACTTCTCACCTGCAAAATAAGCTCTTTTGCTTCTCCCAAACTCAGAGTGAATTTTAGCTTGATTAGGAAACCATATGGTAAAATGTCAAGTATTTTTTTGTAAAGGCAATTTTTTTTTTTTTTGCGCTTTTAGATAAAAAGCTTTTCCCATATCTTTGTTTTAAAATACTGATAATTGGAGCCCATGACCCCAGCACTTGGGAGTCTGTTAGGCAGGAGGATTGCTATGAGTGCAAGGTCCTCCTGACCTCCATGGTGAATTCAAGGCCAGCTTCCATGATGTAGTAGGACCATGTCTTGGAAAAACAGAAGCAATAAAAACAAATGCATAAAAAGAAAAACATTAGCATTTGCCTCTTGCCTGCCGAATGCCTCAGCCCCACTGTAGGATTCTCTATTCCAACTAGAATTTCTTGCACTACCAGCTTGACCTTAAATTACATACGGATATGGAAGGTGGTTCATCTGGAAAACAAAACAGAAATCCAAAGACCACTTCCGTTTGGTCACCAGAAGTTCATTGAATAGTTACCAGGCATCAAATGGAAGGTACAAGTACACACCTTCAGGTGCATGCTGCTTGAATGAGCTTCTGCATTATAGTCTATGTGCTTAATACCCTCCCTGAAATCCTACCAGCAGCAATTTGCACTTCAAATAGATTAGCATTTCTCATTGTTCAATATTTTCAAGATTTGGAAAATAAAACTATAAATTAGAGGTGTGTATATTCTTAGCGGAATAAATGCCCACATTGAAACTTTTATAAGATAAAATTATGTTGATGTGTGTGGAAATTTCTTAATGACTTACATTTCCTTAGGGATACCTATGATCTCTACAAAGATGGAAATTCTTAGTATATTACTGAAGACAGTGAAATATTGAAGATAGCCTTTCTTCATAAAGACTTAAATGGAACAAGAAAAAAGAAATATTTGTAGGGTTTCTTTTAAAATTATGTGAAATTATTGGGCTACTTGTCATATGAATACTTTTAGAAGGTGCCCATATGGTAACTTTGGCCATGACCCCAGATCTTTGACCATGGATGTGTTCATCCTATAAAGCTTATGTATCTTACTGTTTCTAATTTTAAAAAAAGAAACCCAAAATGTGATTCCACTGACCTAGAACTGGCAGGCTTTAGAGTTGTCTTAGAAATATATTTTCCATTTCAATCTTGATGTCACAATTCTTAGAAAGACATACTTTGATGGTTATTACTTTTTATATATAAACATATAAAGTAAGATTATTCAACAAATTAATTAACACAACCATCCCTACTTCGCTTTTAACTGTATATGAGTCTTGGTTTTGAGAGACAGTAGTTATGTCTGTTTCAAGTAGATATTGAAACTTAGCTTGATATTCTTATATTCAGAAATTTAAAAAGCAGGGGAAGCTTTTAGCAGTGAACTTGATTTAGCAAACATTTGACTTGTCTACTTTGTGAAATGCACTGTATAGATCCTGTGCTATTCATTAAGGAAAAGGATACCAATTCTGCATTACTAATGCTCAGGTCCACTAGAAAAGATGATGTGTTGACTATAAACCCAGGGGATGTGCAGACAGGCTTGGGATCCAGCAAAAAGAGAACAGATCATAATGAGAAAGGACAGGGAGGTGTATGGTTAGACTTTGAAGCTTATGAGTGGCGATTAATCTCGGATTTGAGAAGTGAAGCACATGTGTTCTAAGTTTATACTAAGAACTTAACTGGAGTCTCAGGACATTGTGTCTTGAGAAACTCACATTTCACAAGCAAGTTTATATTTCACAAGTCTTGGTTTCCTGAGATGGAAGTCTGCTTTCATAGCTGGAACTTCATGGGATGTGTGAGATACCGCAGGCATTCGTTAGTTGCTACATCCTTTTAGTTTGCTCCAGAACCCTCTAAACCAGTTCAGAACAGTTTCCACGAGTGGCATCCTTTCAGTTCAGGGAGGATAATTGTATTGTAGCACTGTGATACAGCATGAGATTGACTGCATGTTATAGTTCTTGAGCCAGAAACCTTTGATACTTCTTGATTTTCATAGATTTGATGCTGTTTTCTTCAAAATGTATAGTCATCTTTTTGGTGTATCTGGCTGCTTTCAAGTCATATTTCCTAATTTCTATTTTCTGGTATTTTTGGATTTATGTTACAACATTTTTCTTTAAAAATTTATAACCTTATATGTCCTTTTTATGATAATGCCTTTTTACTACATTTATATTCATGCCATTCCCTGCCTCATGTTAAATGCAGTGGCCTCTGATATTTAGTTTCTATTTGTTCAGGCTCATTTTTGTGTTATCTTTTCAAGTTTTTGTTTTACTTTTTAACATACCTGGTTGAAGTTAATTTTGTAGTATAGGTAAATACATGTGGAGCTATTATACATAGACATACTCTACTTACTGTTATCAATAGGAAGAACTACTGAAAAAAATCAAGAGCTAGGTTAACGAGATCCATTTGGAGAAATGTTCCTAGGTGTTTGAAAATACCATTTCTCCAGGATATAAAGGAAGGTTTAAAATCCAAGGACTTAAATACAGTATTTAAGTCAATAAAATGACACACTGATAATCAAGAAGGATAATTTTATGTATTAAATGCATTGTGGCATGCTAAAATCGTTGTTAAAGTACTATGTCATTTTTATTTGTAGCATTTCCCAGTATTTAGAATAATTGATAGTACTTTCTATCAAAATCATCGGTAATCCTTTTCTACTACAGTGATAATCACATAGGTAAAAATAGCTGCTTTTTTTTTTTTTGCTTCTCCTTTCACCAGCTGCTTATTTCTTCATTCTCAGAAGTCCTTTTGCATAAACAGGAACAAAAAAGTGCCAGGTGCGATTTGTGCACATCTGTAATCCCAACACTTGGGAGATTGAGGCAGGAGGATCCCCGTGAGTTTGAGGCCAGCCTGAACTACACACCTGTCTCCTCCCTCCCCAAAACCCAGTAAAAACATCCAGGGACTTGTGATCACTGAATGTGGCCCTGTTGATGGGCTGTGTATGCAAATCAGAATCTTTGACTTGACTCCAGCTCTGAACTATAAACCTGTATTGGGAATGTTCTTGTTTTTCCAAAATACATGATTGTTAAGGTCATTTATTCTATTAACATATTCAGGTTATATGCTTTGAAAAAGAACCTGCAAATAGATAATCCTTGGTGTAATGGGCTTTACTTGTATTTTGAAAGGTTTACAATTTTTTGTGAGATAAATATGTCATCGTTAGTTATTTTTATTTTAACAGTATTGGGGACATCATAGATCACTATCGAAAAGAACAGATTGTTGAAGGGTATTATCTTAAGGAACCTGTACCAATGCAGGTCAGTGTTGTTTCTCTTTTTGCAATAACCAGAATTTTGTTTTAAAGTTCATTTTGATGCAATTAACACTGAATGTTAGATAAAATTCTAAACTGTAGGCTACTCAGATTCTTCTAGAAAAGCAATTGTAAGAGACTTTTTGAGTGTTTTATCTGTGCTGGTTCCTGAGACTAGCAGCTGAGGAGGTCACCCATCAAGCTTTTGAGGCCAAAGTGGAGACTGGATAAACAGCCCAAGGCTCATCAGGAGGAAGGAGGGTGGAATGGGAGAGGGTGACTGAAAAGGATTGGGACCAAAGGGGGTCTGAATTCCTTTCTTTCTTTGCCAGTAGTTTTATTTCGAGAGGCTATGAGCATGTTTGTATGCCCCACGTAAAAGCCATGGTAAAAAAGAGACCATCCTTGGTGGACGGGGTATGGGAGTGGCAGGACCTGATGTACAGGTCTTGGCGAAGGCAGGAGAGAATACACTGGACAGACTGGCCTTGCACAAGAGGGCCTTTTAAACACTGACTGTTTAATGCACAGGGTGGTTAGTGTGCTTCTTCTGACTCACTGCATTTCTGAGATGTGACGGGGTAAGGGTGTAGAGAAGGTTAGAAAAAGGTTCTTCAAAGGAGTGATTAAGATTTTTCTGTGAGGAAATGGAGGTTTTGACATTCCAGGCACATCAAAGGGAGAAAGATTTTGGGGTACAAGCTGGTGTTGGCTAGTGATTTATAATGTCTGGAGTTTTTATGATGGCTGAGTACTACATTTTAGACATGTATCCATATTAATTCACTTTGTTTTCCAGTAGTTTAATAAGACTGACACTATAATATGACTGTTTTACAAATTGAGAAACTTTGGCCAGAGAAGTTAAGGCATTAAGTCTTAATGGATTTTATGTCTTTTCTCTTCTTTTTTATCTCTACTTCTCCCTGTCCTTCCCTTTTTTCCCTCTGCTCTCCCTTTTCTCTTTTTTCTTTCACTTTTATCCACCCTATCAATAATTCTTGCTAACTGCCTTCAAAATATATCTAGAATATAACTACCACCAAAAACTGACTGCATTTCACTATCTACCTTTGTCTTAACAGCATTCCACAGTCAAAAGGATCCATTTAAAATATGAATTGATGTTTTATATTTCATTTAAAGTTAAGATCAAAATCCTTTTAAAGACATACAAGATCGTACAGTAGCATATGATGAATTTCTAAGCTTGCCTTTATTCTCCTTATCTGTAGTTTCAGGACATGATAAGGAAAGTTTTCTGAGAATTTCTTTGGGAAGCAAAAGTTCTCTTAATTTTTTTTTTTATTGGTACCGAAAGGGAACTCACGACCACATACTTGCCAGTAGGCGCAGCACCGCTGAGCTGTATCCCTGGCTCTTAGGCTCTCTTTATTTATCTGACACTCATCTAGATTTTTGTGCTAATACTTTTTCTACAGTTTTGATTGGTAATTTATTTTTGTTTCATTTGTATCAAACGTTCATGAAATTTTGTATTCTAAAAATTTAGGATCAAGAACAAGTACTCAGTGATACAGTGGATGGCAAGGAAATCTATAATACAATTCGCCGTAAAACAAAGGATGCCTTTTATAAAAATATTGTTAAGAAAGGTTATCTTCTGAAAAAGGGTAAGTGAAATTTTAAGATGAAGGGCTTAACTGTTTTACTTCCCATGGCATGTATATTTAATAAGTTGTTTTAACACAAATTACTGGTAATTTACACTTGTTTACAGTTTCTAAGCACCCTTCAAAATTTAGGAGTTGTTACATTAAGTCTACATTTGAATCCAGGGCTTTAGAAAACAAATTTATACATTTTCAAGCACCCCCAGGATAAGAAAAGACATCTGACTCTGCCTCCTCTCCCCATTTTTCTTTTGATAATTTTCTTTTTAAAGAAACTTGGTGGCACCTGACTTGGTGGCCTTGCTGACTGATAGTATTGATGATTGTATTTGGTGTGCTTACCTCAGTCTGACTGTAAGGCATGTTGAGGGGATGGGAGAAGGCCTTAGTGGTGTTTGTGGATTTTTTTCCTTAAAACTGGAAAAGGATTACTCCAAACAAAGAGATTTGGAAATTTCATCATAAAAGAATATCTGAAGAAAAGTGTCTTCTCATTTACTCTGATTCATTAAAACAAGTAGTATTACAAAAGGCATTTTTTCCTAATCACTAGCATTTTCCTAGTATATAAAGATGTTTTATATATTTTTTTTTATTTTTATTTTTTTGGTCTTTTTTCCTTTTTATCGGTACCAGGGATCGAACTCACGACTGCCTGCTTGCGAGGCAGGCGCTTATGCCGCTGAGCTAAATCCTCAGCCCCAAAGATGTTTTATATTAAAAATTGAGCTGTATCTATTTTTAGCAACAATTTCTTTGTCATTCTAACATACATGATTTTGGAGTTCACTGTTCGGCTGAGGAAAAATAATTTTATTTTTTAACAGGCAAAGGAAAACGTTGGAAGAATTTGTATTTTATCTTAGAGGGCAGTGATGCCCAACTTATTTACTTTGAAAGTGAAAAACGGGCTACCAAACCAAAAGGATTAATAGATCTCAGTGTATGTTCTGTCTACGTTGTTCACGATAGTCTTTTTGGAAGGTAAGAATTTGTTTTTCTGTTTTTCTTTTGGAATTATTTTAATAATAAAGGATGTGTTCAGGTTATTTCAAAGCATAGCAAAACAAAGTTTTATAACATAACGTCATCTAAAAATATCAGTAGCGTAATTTTTGTTTTTCTTGCTTTAGGCTAACCTATATATGAAATTCCATTCCTCTGTTAGATAGAAATCTTTGAAATGCCATTTCATATAGCAGGACTTCATCTTGGTCTGTATGTGCTCTCTTTGTCACCTCTGACAGTCATTTGAGAGACTTAATTTACATTTTTTCACCCTTTTCCTGCTTTTTTTTCCACACTACCTATTAAATGCATATATCTGATAGTATGAAGTACACTCAGTTAGCTGGTAGCTTTGTAGATATGTTCATAAGGGACTCAACATTACAAAACAGTTCTCACACAAAAATTGTTTCAAAAAAAAAAAACTTTTAAAAAGTTTTTCATACACTGATGTTAATTAAGGTTTTAAAAAATAAATTTATAAGGCAAGTCCTGAGCATTATGAGACATTTCCAGCTTTTAATTGCACCTGGATATTTGTTCAAGAACATTACAATATCAGTAGTCTATAGAATCTTCTCAGAAGTACTCATCAATTTATTACCTATTGATGTGTTTATAAATTAATTAGACTTTGATACATCTTTCCCTTTTTTCTGGATTCTCTAATATTTCATAATAAACACAAGAAGTTTGGGTAAGTAGACTTTTATCCCCATTTGTAACAGTAGGGGTGACTAGAATGGAGCATGACAGCAGTTAGGTCCTCTGGTAATACATCCTCCTAAAACCATCAGCTTGAACAACTGTTGGTTGACCCTAGTACCTTCACAAGAGCTAAGGAAACACTGAGAGGTCACTGTACCTGGTTTTAGCATAAGAAGCGCAGATACATTGAAGGAAGCAGAAAGAGTTGTTTTTGTCACTCAGATGCAATAAGGGCAGTTTGGAAAGAATCAACTGCTTGAGGGAGGGAGAGGGAATTGTGTAGGAGTTAGACGTGAAACCCAGTATCAAGTCTATCACAGAGAAACTCAGTGTTTAGAAGATCCTCACTGGCTCCTGTCCCAGACCACTGTGTACAGGTGGAGTTTTTGGATTCAGTCCAGTTCTAGGTGGAGACCTGGCACCTTGACATGATGGACTCGTGTTCCTGCCTGCATCACAGCAGCCAGTCTGGTTTTGGGGTTTGTACCCTTGATGGCACTGGTCCTTGAGGTTGTCTCAGGTGTGCACGCCACTCCTCTCCACAGCAACAGCCATTAGTGAGTGAGAAATGCCTGTGCTCGATCCTGGCTCAACACTGGGGAACACAATTGCTGGCAGTTTGCTTTACTTTCCTTGTCATGAGCAAACAGAAAAATACCCAACCCCTGTAACTGAAAGTTTATTTTGGCACAGATTTTAGAAGCCTCATTCTTGTTATGGTGACTCCAGTGCACATGGTAGGGCAGAGCTCCTCAGGACATGGTAGACAGGAAGCAGAGTGAAAAGGAAGACTCCAGAAGGGGGATGGGCCCTTCTGAGCCATGCCTTTGGTGACCCAGCCCCTTCCTCTAGGCTCTGCCTCCCATTTTGACATCTAGTTATAAACTCATTAGTTGACTAATCTGCTGATGATTTTATCACAACATCATGATCCAGTACCTCTCCAAAGCCCCACTTAGGAGGAGCATATGAGGCCTCCATGAGGATAAGGCCTCTAGATATAAACTGTAACAAGGCCAGGATAAAGAAATAAATGCAGGACTCCAGGATCAGGCAGAAGCCAGCAGCTCTTCCCAGGCCATTGCCCCTAGGTGGGGTGTCTGGACCTGTCGTGACATTATGTGGACAATGACAGACTTGTGTTCTGCATTCATCACCTCAAGCTGGCTGCAGTGGTGTTAACCCATGAGAATATCAATGTGTCAGACAAAGTGTGGCAGTGTGAGATCTGATCCTGCTGTTTTACTGCATTAGTCTTGATGGAGTCTGGGCTCTGGGTGTGACTTAGCCTTGTAACAGCCATGGTGGCCACTGTGCTGCCCAAGCCACCGTGCTTCCCCTAACCCCAGACAGTATAACATGGAGAGGGTTGGTGCACAGGTAAAGGGGATAGGTGCAGGTTGTTGCTTTGGAGCCTCTAGCTAGAGCTGTTCAGTGAGCCCCACTGCTGGGCAGAATTCAGTGGTGCCTGACCATAGCCCAGTGACTGGATCAGGCATCTGGGCCTCATCCTTGCCCTAGGTAGAGAGGCTTATTGGCACAGTTGGGGCGTATTATCTTTTTTACTCCATCCAGAGCAACACACATCTTATGGATCGGTAATAAACTTGGGCTTGGGGTACCATCTAGTGCTGAAATAGTGGCAGTGATCATAGGCTCAGAGAATTTAAACAGCCTGCCTAAAATTTCTGGAAGGAAGGCATGAACAAACCCAGATTATGAAGATAATGTACAGATACTGTGACTGTCTTGGATGCTTGAATCATCATTAGATGACTTATAATTCCTAGTCTAACAGTGCTATGTGTTTGTTCAATACAGGTGCATTTAAAAAAATAACTTGGGTGTGCATTTGCTTGAATTTGTAAGAGTGGAACCAATGAATATGGAGAACTAATGTAATAGGAAATAGGTGGTTCTTGAGCAGAGTCCAAGAGGACATCTATGAATTTATTTTGATAGATCAGCAACTAGTGTGCTTAATATTATTAAAAGTCTGTGAGACACAGCTAATTATTAAGTGTTATGATAAAAATAGTAAACCAAACTCTACATTTCAAATGCTATAATACTTGAAATTACCTGGCTTCCTCCACAAGCTATTCTAATTTGTTATTCTATTGAGGCAAAAGAAATAGCACAAAACCTTGCAGACAGTAAGCTCTTTATGGTGACTGTACTTCAGTATTTCTTTTTAAATTACTCAGTTACTCGAATATTACTTAATCTAGACTCTTGTGAGTCAGTCATTAGTGATGTTACTGTTTGCATTAATTCACAAACTCTTTAATTTTTTTATATTCCCTATTAAACCACTTTAAAATTATTATTTATAATATGAATTCTTGGACTTAATTTTTTTCATTGTTATTTCTTTATAATCAGTTTTAATGTGCAATATTTATGAAATCAGCATAAAGGGCAGTTTTGGTGATTAATACTGTGAAGTTATTATATTTCCAAGATAAAAATAATACCCTTAATTTTAAAAATTCAACCCATGTATTAGGTTAATAAATAAAAAATATATTACACTTAGGTTGCTAAGCCCAGTAAATGCTGTCTTCTTTACCTTCAATATTTTCTTTGTATAAGTCAGTGTTGCCAAGTATATTAGGCTAGCACCATACCCACTGCTTAAAAAAATTGAATTGTAAACTCCAAATGAGAAAGTTTCTTCTCTCCCACCCCTTCCTCTCTTCTCATAGATACGTTCCTACAGTATCATGTTAAACTTGGAAAGCTTGTTTTGAGATCATGCAATTAATAGTTAAAGCTGAAGCAAAAATGCTTCACACAGAGTTGGAGAATTACTTGTTTTACCAGTCTGCATGGAAACTGCCAATTCTGTTTATGGCCAAGAATAAAAGTAAGAGAAGAGACACCACTTTGAAATAGTAGTAGATAATTCTAAGGTAGGGTTATCAGTAAATGCATTTGTGAGTTAAATGATAGGTTTTAAAATATCCAGATATCATTGCAGAATGGTATACTGTATGATATATACTCCATTATATAAATACACGATATGTAACAAGTACTACAATACTTGAAAGAGAATTGTTGGCATTCAGAGAAGTTCCAAAACTGTCAAGGATAAAGTATTCCAAACAGTAAATGAAGATATGGAAATGTCATTTGATCTTAAGACAGATGCGGCTTCAGGCAGAAGTATGTAAAGGTTTTCATCAGGAATTCCTTCTGGAAAATAGCAGTTTGGAAGTAGTCTTACTTATATGCTTGTGTGTAGACTTGGATTCCATATAAAAAAATGTTAAGATAGAGGCTCTAGTAAAATCCAAGCTGCTCAGCAACGTGGGTTTTTCAGTTTTATGTGAAGAAACGCAATCCGAGTACTGCCGTTTGGTACTGTCCAAAAAATGTTGTGTTAAAAAGTTTGATTTGCACAACAGCTTCTCTTTACTGTATAAGATTCTCATTTTGTAGATTTACTGAAGAGTGAACTACCTTAAGAAACAGCGCAAAAAGATAATGTATTTTGACAGTTGATTCAGAGTAGAAATTCAGTCTTAAAAAAAAGACGTTAAAAGTGATTCACTAGTGATATCTATACTTTGAACAGTATGATTCCTAGAGGACTATTAAAACTGATAAAGAAATGTCTGCAGGTTTAAGGAAATCCTTTAGTATTATTTTGACCTGCCTTATATGAACAGGTATGTTTAGAATGAAAATCAGTCTATACTGTCAGAAGAAAGTCCATGTCACAGCAAACAGCACTTTTTGTTGTTTGTTTTTTGCTAAAGTTAAAGGTGGATCAGATCTTTGAAGTACCTTTAAAGAGTCTAAATTATTCTTATACTGGTTAATATCAATAATGGTGTTTGTCAGGTGTAAGGAAAAAGAAACGTTTATAATCTGCTATTTAAAGTCATTACTTGATTCCTACGCAGTTTCTTATTGAAGGTGATTAAAGAACTTGAAAATATGTTAAAACATCTTAGATTATTGCATTAGTCAGTATTTTTATTCCTGAGACAGAATACCTGACACACTGACAATTTAAAAGATGAAAGGTTTAAATTACTCAGTTTAGTAATTTCAGCACATGCCTGGCAGACTCCAAGGCAGAAACATTGTAGAGCAAAGCTGCTTAGTTTTTGGTGACTAGAAAGCAGAGCAGGGAAGAGTGCCAGGGACCATGTATAAAAAGTCACACCTCTAGGACTCACTCAGATCCAGGAGCCAGAGTTTTTCTAATCTGCTAGATGTTTCTTACTCCTTTTGTCAGAAGCGATTGTCAGAGGCCATCCCTTGCTGACTTCACACCTACACACATCTCCTTAAGCCATACTTCATCCCCAGGTAAAGACAACAGTCCATTTATAATCCACCTAATAACACAACTGTTTCATGTACAGCCAGAAACATAATCCTCCAAAATCTCAGTAGTATAGCATTTTTGAGAAGTCTTAAGTTTCTTTTTCGGAGACTCAAAGTAAATTGTAAAAGTATGTAAAAATGAAAAATAAGATTATGTCATCCCAGCATATAGTGGCATAATGTAAGCATTCCCATTGTAAAAGGGAGGAAAAGAGGATTAAAAAGAATCAGGCCAAATCAAGACCAGCAGACCCAACATTCCTCTCCAATTCCCTTGCCGTCGTCCAAGGTGACTGATAATTAAGGTCTGACTTCCAGAAGGCTTGGAAGCTCCAGCCCATGGGCTTCTTGGCTGCAGCCCAGTCTACCTCTCGCCAGCTGTCCCCACTTACAGCTCTGCGAATGTTCTACTTTCCTAGTATCTTCACCTTTTGGGGCCATACTACACCTTTGGCTTCATTCCACAGCTTCACAGATTGTCCTCTCAGGGACTTCTTGCCTGACCTCTTAGACATTTCTTTGAAATCTGCATGGAAGTTTTCTTGATCCCACAGCTCTTTTATTCTGCATGCAAGTAAAACCAGTATCACATGGATGATGCTATAATTGGCTGCCCGCTCGTGTAGTTAGTGTCCCCTGGACCATGGCTGCAGTAGCCTCTGAGTGCCTAAATGGTTGAGTCCAGTAAAATGAATTGTGGGGTACCGGTTCCCTAGGAGGCCCTTGAGGAGCAGATATTGCAGTGAGTTTTCTGAAAATGAAAAGTTTACACCTTTAAACGATGCTGATAATGCCTGGCAGCCACACCTCTTTTGGTTCCACCTTTACACATGATTCCTTCCAGGCCAAAATTTAAGTATTTCAAGTTTTTCTCCTTTGCTTTTTGCCCCTGATTCTCATTATAAGTCAAACTAAAAGCAGCCAGCAGTAGCCATGCCTTCATGGCTGCTTTGAAATTTCCTCTTCTAGATTCACTAGTCCACCATCCTTAATCCAAGTCTCCTCCAGAGTCTGAGGGCATGAGCAATGTAGACACATTTTCTGCTGGAGGGTAACACGTTGGCTTGGAGTTCATATACTGAAAGGGTCCTTCTTCCCAACTAAAAGAGTCTGAATCTGGCCTTGTACTGTCTGCAGTTCTATCATCCCAATCTTCTGAATTCTGCAGAATCACCTATCAAGCTCCCTGTTCACACCATTCTCATACTTGTCCGCTCCCTTCTCTAAACCTTTCCAAACTCTTGTCATAAGCTATTCCGAAACTATATGGTCAGGAAAGTCACAGCAAAAGCCTCATTTGTGGTACCAATGTTCTGCCATTGCTGTGACAAAATGCCTGGCAGCCACAGCTTAGGTAAGAAAAGATTTAATTCAGCTTGAAATTTCAAGAAATCAGTGCATGTTTGGCAGGGTTTAAAGTAGATACCTCATTGGAAAGGTGTGTGGCAGAGAGCAGAGCTGCTGGCTTCATGGCAGAGCAGGGAGCAGTGCTGTGGAGGAAGGGACCAACAGCCATGTGGAGTACCAAGTGCCACTGCCGTGTGTAGTATAGGATCCACCCCCTCCATGCCCACCCAGACACACCCCGGAGAGCACTCACTCATCTGCTAGAGGTTTCTTAATTCAGGTAACAACCTCATGTCATCATTAACAGTCATAACATGGTTAGTTAAACCATGTCTGATCTCATGTGAAAAACCTATGTCCATGAGAACTAAGCCCAGGTCTCATTTTTAAAAAAAGTTTTCCTTCAAATGTGTCAGTGTAGGATCAGTTGTTTTTGGTGGCCCTGTGATGTACTAAGTGAAGCATTGAGAAAACAGTACCATTATAAACAGCATCAGCAAAGTTTATTTCAAGGAAACGAGAAGACATCTCTGCAAGGAAAAATAGGTTAATACTAGTGATTTCATTATATAATGCACAAAAGGTGAAATTATGGACCGGTGTTGTTATCTGTTGCTTCACTGTGTTACCAAATATTTAGCGGGTTTTGAACATTACATGCTTTGTGTGCACACTGACCTGGCTTTGAAAGGTAGGTGTCCACAGGAAGTGAGGTTGGACCACACAAATTGTGTGGCTGTTCTCCTGCATGGCTCTAGCTGCAGGCTGTATGCTTTTCCTAGGTTAGGTCAGGATTATTTAGAGGTCTCTAAGCACTTGCTTCCTTTTAAACTTCAGACTGTTAATACTGCTTTAATATTAACCATTTCAGAAGCACAAACTGAAAGACATTTTAGTGATAAAAAGATTCTTACGCTTATGTTTTCCTAGGATGGATCTATCACTGTGACAGTATTTATTGTTTTATATACACCTCTGAAAGATATTTTTGTGGATATTTTTAGATTGCAAGTTACTTACTTTTCAATGATGATTTTCTACCTTCCAACATTTTCACTGTCACACAAATTGTTGCTTTTTTCTTTTTCTTTTCTTTCAAGAGAAGTCTATCCTGTCTTTTTCTAGATGCTTCTTGTTCCTTAAGCAACAAAAGTAAAACATGCCTAACAGAAGTTTGTTTTAAATTATTGTGATTTGAAGAGCTTCTTCAATCTGAAACTATCTTTTGTCAGTTTTAGTCTTTGTTAGTATATCTGTAAGCATTTCTGCTGCTGCGTTCTGTTGTCTTCTGGCATTCTTGTGAGACATTCTTATGTGTCTTTTCACTGTATCCTTTGTGTCTAGTAAATGCATACTTGTTCATCTTTTCTCTCTCTGCTCCAGGCTATGTGTTTTTTCCTGGTCTTGCAGTTAATTAAGCTATGCTTCTACAGTTAGAGCCATTTGTTGAAGTCTTAATGTTCATTAACATTTTCCAATTTATTTCTAATTTGAGTATTTTTTTAAAAATAGTATTCTGACAGAATTATAGTTGCCTGTTTTCTTAAACATTTAAATTAGTTTTTTCCTTCCTGACTTTGTCATTAGATCTCCAGTCTTGAAATATCTTGATATGTTTCACAGAATGGTGACCATAACACACGAAAAGTTGCGGAAATGTGACTGCTTGCAGCAGGGACTGCAGGCTGGTAAATCTCTCCCTGTGGGGCTCCATGGAGGCAGGGCTCGGGGTTGGGGGCTCCTTAGTTTGGCTCAACCTGATTGTGAAGATGCAGTTCTTCAGAGACTTGAGGACCTTTTTCTGGAATGCCCTGAATTCCATTTTGCTCTCTCAGCACTTGGAAACTGCTGGATTTTCTGCTTAGTATTTAAATTTTTAAAAAAGTGGCTGCTTTTTTTCCTGCGAAGCTTAGGAACTGGCGTGTACTTTGAGAGGAAAAGCGTGAATAATGTCCAAGTCAGCTCAGTGGGATGTCGCTCCTCAGGTGTTTGCAGCTTTGTTCTCTAGTGCCCTCACACAAGTGGTTTTGTTTGTTTGTTTTGTTTTCTTATATTTTATGCAGATGGAAGATACAGGTCATTTTCAGAATCAGAAGTTTCCAATTATATTTTCCACTACTTTGTATCATTCTCAAGCCATAAAAAGTTGGTTTTTATATTTCACAAGCCTGAAACTTGTTCTGTGTTTTGCTATGGCCTCCTCACACTAACACATAAAAATCTGTTTAACGCAGTAAATAAAAATAACATATATTGAGTTCTAAAAACATGCAGGCCCTCATTAAACACGTTACAAATATTTTCAGGCTTAGTTAGAAAGATAGCACATACCCAAAATGAGATGTAAATTATGAACTTACTTATATAATTTAGGAATTGTATTTATGAGTCAACTGATTTATACTAGAGCATACTTGGGGACGGACGCACATGGATCGTTGAGGGAGGAAGAGGGGATACCCTCCTAACCAGCCAGATCAGCCAGATCAACCCTAGCAATCAGTTGGGTGACAGATGTCGCAGCCAGCTCGCCTTCACATCCATCCTAGAGCATACTAAAGACATGATTTAATCACTACCAGGTTACTTGAACATCAAAACAAGCAATATAGGAGATGATGATTTCATCTTAATATATGAGGTGTGTATTAAAGAAAACCTAAAATACAGACTAACAGATAATTAAAATGATCCACAATCTGTTAATCATTACAGACATTTTGGTCTAGGAATATTTCTAGTCTTTTTTCCAAAACATAAAAGTGTTCAGAGTAACTGTGTGCAATGCTAAGACAATTTTGTTTTCTTTAAACCTTTACTATTTCTAGTGTCTTTTAAAATGACATAGCACTTTACTGTGAAAGACTGACTTTCTTTTTAATTGACCCAGTAAAATGCTGTGTTACTTCTTGATGGTATGACAATTTTATATAAATTATATAATTCTATATTGTGGTTTTTAAAGTTTGTGTAAATACTTGTAGTCACTGTAAACTTCCTTACTGCAGTTCTCTGTTTGTATTTTAAAGGCCAAACTGTTTTCAGATCGTAGTTCAGCACTTCAGTGAAGAGCACTACATCTTCTACTTCGCGGGAGAGACTCCAGAGCAGGCAGAGGTGAGCACGGTCTCTTCAATAGTGTCTTACCCTTGAAGCGGGACACTGTTGAGTTTAAGATAAAGTGATTATGCTTAAAAAGATGCTTAAACCTTGTCAGATTTTCATTTGAAGCAATGAGATGTGTCATGTGCAAAAATCTGTTTTGAAAGAAATGCAGAAACAAATGCAGTGAGAGGTTAGTGGGGATGGAACTGCAGTTCACATTGACCTTTACATTCTCTGTGAAGCTGAGTCCAGCTGAGTCCAACTCCTTTAAAACCCTCTCTGCACCACGGCTGTGGGTGTTCTCAGTCCAGTCCAGAGGTGAGCAATTAGTTTTGCTGACATGTATCGTTATTCTTCACTGGCTGAGCCATGTCTAAAAATAAAAGTTCCATCATTGAGACAAACACACTTTATGACTGTTGTTGTCTGTTTTCTACGTCTGCACATGGCTGTACTTGAAGGCTTACATACTGACCTGTATGCAGTGCCTGCTGCAGCAGGAACTTTACATAATCCTGTGAAGAAATATTTAAAAAATCTGCACTTAAACATAGTTTTAACTTAAACTTTAATAGTTGTAGAGAGTTTTAGTTGTAGTTTGTATAAACACAGCCATATTTCTACTTAATTGATTTGGGTTTAATTTGATACACTATAAAGATACTAACCAGTGACAGAGCTTAGGTCCACAGAAACAGCCAACACACTGAAGATGTAATTAAATCAGAAGAGCAGAGCTCTCCAGAAACATGCAAACCAAGTGAGCATTTAGATTTTAATAAACCTAAATTGTTCTCCTTTTCTGGGGCAATGTCATATTTAAACATTCAGAATATATAGTTGTAATTTAAATATTGGCTGAAATGATATTTTAAATCTAGGTTTAGAAATACCAAATCCTCCTATAAGTGTGTCTATATGATGGTCTTAAGAAAAGTAGATTGCCTGTCCCGTGAGACATCATGTAACAGACAGTTTTGCCATGGGCCCTCCCCGCTCACAAGGTGTAAATCTAAGATGTCTGTTTAGATTCTTCCAGAAGCTCAGTGTGTCAGCTGAACTACATACAGGACCCCTCCCTAGGGAGTTGGTGTTTGAAAAAAAGTTTCTTTAATGAAAATTGTGGTGTTTTGGTCAATCAATGGCTACATATCAGTATTCTAACATTAACTAAGGGTTCTTCATAAAATAAAGCATTTTTTATAGAACTCTTTAAGTTTGGGATATCATTTTACTTTTTGGACATTTTAGAATTTAATATACTCTGAGACTAAGGTATAATAGTCTACGCAAGGAAAATTATTCAATTTGAAGGAAATAAATAGATGGTTGAAAATCAGATTATTTCTCTGAAATTCGTTTTTTTTTTTTTTTTTTTTTTTTTTTAAATAGGATTGGATGAAAGGTTTGCAGGCATTTTGTAGTTTACGGAAAAGTAGTCCAGGGACGTCTAATAAACGCCTTCGCCAGGTAAATATTAATTGTATTTGTCACAAGTAGCACAATTTTCACTGTCATTCTGCTCTTTTTATTTCTACGTGAACTCTTTCTGATGGTGTTTCTTGAGAGGTTATTTTCAGGCATTTTTAAGCCCTGGTTTCACTTTAGTAGCAGGAAAAATAGTTCTGAAAACGGGTGTTTATTATATACCTACCTCTGCTTCTTAGTGTTAGTACTAACTTTTGAATACATGTAGAGGATTGTTTCACTTAAAATAACAATACCAAATCAGTAACAGAAAATACTGTGTCGGACACTTTTTCTTCAAATTATTTTGCCCTTTCTCAAAAAAGTAGAAGTATAACGGTACTTGACTGAAAAGGTTGTTTGACTCATAGTCTCCTAATCTCAGTAAACTTTTGAGCTTTTCATTCTGTACCAATTGTTTCTGAAACTCATGTGTAACTCACCAAATCTAATTTGAAACATTAGCCTGGCTTATATTTTTGTTAATGGAAAATTAAGGCTTTCTCTTTTCTTTTTCCTATGTATGTAAGAGCAACTTTATACACTCCACTTCTCGAGTTTCTTATTTTCCATGGTAACCCATAGCACATGTGCCACAGTAGGCTGTTTGTACCACTGAAAGCTCTAGAAGGTTCACCATAGCTGCTCTGGACAGTTGGAAGAACTCAGGCACATTGTGACACTTGAGATTTGGATGAAAACTTCCTACAATAAAGTGATTCCTATTCATGGGGATTTGCAGTGTAGTCACTGAATCTAACATCATTCTGCTGAAATGGATAAATATTTAGCTGACTGTCCCTGGAACTCAGAGTCTTGCACCTTTTCCCTAAAACATTTAATTTTACCTGTAATTATTGTACACCTTTAGAATATATTGTAATTTTATGGACTGTGGAAAATCAGATTGATTATTTTACAGAAACAGCAAGCTATGTCTTGTGTGAAACATGGACCATGAAATTTTTGTAGGCATAATCATAGATGATCTCCTTTATGTCTTTCTTGTGTGTTAGGGACTGTGTGTCCTGTACATGTATTATTTCCACTCTGTCCTCCAGCCACCGCCATATTTGGTGTGTGCATTCTGTGGATGAGAAGGGGAAGGCTTTCAGACTCTGAAGGCCAAGGTCACACAAGTAGCAGTGGCAAGAGAGAAAGAGACCCTGGAACTAGGAGATAGATGGTCTAAGTTTTAGCTTTAAAACTAAAAACTAAGCTAGGATTTTGTATAAATCCTGTAAAATCTTTTCTATAAAATCAGAAGAAAGAATCAGTGTCTAGCAGTATAATTTATTTTATGTAGTGATAACAGTCTCTTAGATAAGCATTATCTAACATTTGATGTTTTGATTTGGGTAGTCACAGTTGTTTGGGTTACTAAAGAATCTTCTAAACTGTTTTGTCAGTGTCATTGTTTTATGGAGGAAAAAGGTTATTTCATTATTACTGCACAGCTAGTTACAGAATAAAATCTTATTTTTATCTTTTTGAGTGGGAAAATTTTAAATGCTTGGATTTTAAATGCATGGATATTTTGTAGTGTGTCACATAAAAGGAAAAATATGAAGGCTTGTATTTTCTGAAAACAGAAAATAAGTCACTTTTCAATTTTGTGTTTTGTATTTGTTGCTCTGAAACCTAATGCATAAAACTTGAGCTCTGGGGTAGTAATTTTTATTTTCTTTAGGTCAGCAGCCTTGTTTTACATATTGAAGAAGCCCACAAACTCCCGGTAAAACATTTTACCAATCCATATTGTAATATCTACCTGAATAGCGTCCAAGTAGCCAAAACTCATGCAAGGGAAGGGCAAAACCCAGTATGGTCAGAGGAGTTTGTTTTTGAGTAAGTATTTTAAAAACTGCATTTCTTTATCTCTCTTTCTCTCTCTTTCTCTCCCTCTCTCCTTCTCTCCCGTTTATCTGCCTCCTTCCTTTCTGTGTTTATACAGACAGGTCAAGGTGCCAAATTTAGATGTTTCAATAGTAGACAATTTTGTTTTTGTGTTGTGTTTGTTCACCTTCATTAGTTGAGTGCTGTGCTTTTGGTTTTCCACCTAATTATTTATACACACTAGCATTACTTACAAGTGAAAAACTATACAAAATGCTTTTTAGGGAAGTTTCCAAGACTAACTTGAATTATTGGTGGTTTGCAAGGTTAGAACTGGTAGGAGAAATGTAATCTGCTTGTCATGTTGCTGTATACTAGATAGTATGAGTTTAGTTTTAAGTCCAGTGTGCTCACTTTGAAATAGGGAACCTATCTGACATTAGAACTGAAAGGATTGAGCAGTCAGATGCCAGAACATTTTGTTAATTATTTTTTTTCTTGCTTCTTTAGTGATCTTCCTCCTGACATCAATAGATTTGAAATCACTCTTAGTAATAAAACAAAGAAAAGCAAAGATCCTGATATCTGTAAGTTATTAAGAAACTTTGTAAAGTTAAAAAAAAGCATGTTTTATAAGTTTTCAGAATTCATAATGATGTGTCTTAAAAGAAAATTAAAAAGCAAAACAGGAATGCAAGTAATATAATTTAAGACAGTTTCTAACTCTGCTTTTTGATGTGGGAAGAAACAGACCCAAGTATCTAATGTGTACATACTGTAAAACGAGGGCTTAAGACCAAATAACTCTCATCAGTCCCTTTCCTAACTGAGAAGAACAGGAAAATGGTCACTGGCCATTTTTCTGTGAGCCTTCCGAGTCTTCATTTCCTTCATTCTGCTTGTAGTCCTTTCCTGCTCTCTGTAGAAACACTACTCTAGTAGAGTATGGTATTTTCACACAACATATTCAGACACTCATAGTTGTTCTCCATGGCTTACTTTTCTCCAGCCGGCTGCTGGAACAAATGGTAGAATGTTAGGTATTACTATTTTTTAAAATTCAAGCCTAATGAGGAAAGTGATATGTATTAACACATAGAGCAAAGCTTCAATTCGTCTCTGTGAAATGTTTAACTGAAACATTTTTGTACTGGTTCTCTATTACTTTTATGATCAAATTCTAGTGGTGATATAGAGGGAAAGCCATACTTTCTGTCTGAACTGCTTGCTTGCTCTCTACCTTTTAATTTGAGCTTGCAGGTCAATTTAAGGTTTACCAGCTTACAATGAGTTTTTGAGCTTTCTAGAATGAATTAAGTATTATTTCTCTGTAGTCTTAAAGTGTTATTGCCTGTTACTTATCCTAGTGTACCATGACTGATCTCTACCTTCCTGGTGGGGCCCTCCATGGACAGACACCATGTGTTAATCATCTCTGTCTCACAGGTCCTTGGCTATTTACTATATCTGGCACATAGTAGACATGCAGTGTAGGAAGTAAGCAATCACACTGGAGCCATTATGTTATTGAAATGCTTTAGTAAAAACTTTAACATTATGGAGGACTGAACTTCAGGAAAATTTACTTGGCTAGCTAATGCCAGTGTTACCTTGTTTATGTAATCACTTGTTTTTCTTTCTAAGTATTTATGCGCTGCCAGCTGAGCCGGTTACAGAAAGGTCATGCCACAGATGAATGGTTTCTCCTCAGCTCCCACATACCCCTGAAAGGTATTGAGCCGGGATCCCTGCGCGTTCGAGCACGGTATTCTATGGAAAAAATCATGCCAGAAGAAGAGTACAGTGAGTTTAAAGAGGTAATTATGCTCCATCTATTTTAGATGGCATTATTAATAAATAGTAATTAAATAATAACATAAATATTTAATAATAATTAAATAATAACATAAATATTTAATAATAAAACACATTAAGTTAGATGCAGTAATTTCCTACCTCCATGGCACGCTGCTAACCCTAGGTTAAGAAGCTCATGTTGACTGTGATTTTAAGAAACCATATATAAACAGGTGGCAGACTTTTTTAGTATGTTTATTGAGTTAACATACTGCTCACTGAACATAAGACTACTGTCCCCAGGACATACCGTGTAGTACTTTCAGCATCTCGTCATGTCGTTTCTAGCTCGTCCTGCAGAAGGAGCTTCATGTTGTCTATGCATTATCACATGTATGTGGGCAAGACCGAACACTACTGGCCAGCATCCTCCTGAGGATTTTTCTCCATGAAAGGCTTGAATCATTGTTGCTGTGTACACTAAATGACAGAGAAATAAGCATGGAAGGTGGAGTATGGATGTGTGATATTTTAAAAAGTTGGGCTATTAGATTTACTAATCACATATGTCTGTCTTCAAAAATATTAAAAAGCTATCATATTGTAAAGGAAGTTATTCTGTTTTTCCTTCACTAAGAAGTGCAATTGGGATGTCACTTCTGATCTATTTGGTTAATGTGGGGGTGAGCATTTCTAATATAAATCTCTGTCATGGAATATTACATTAGATGCCATAGAAAATCCCTTCTGTTCCAGATCAGTGGCCCATAGTACTATACTCTTGAGAATAGTCTGGTTTACTTAACATACTCTTCAGTTTATTCTCTTACTTACTAATTCATTGCACAGAAGTGGAGTGTCAATTGGATTTTATAAGTAGGCCATTGGACACAGTGCTTTTAACAGCTTCGTAATATGTCAGAATAGTCCCCCCAGCACTTTGATTCACCAGTAGTTCTTGCTTCTAAATACGGAGTTCCCACAAGAAACTGCAAAGCCTAGGAGTAAATCTTGCTAATCATAAAATTATAAAAATACAGGTTTGTGAAGAAATAGATTAAATGGTGTCACATATTTTACACTGAGACTTTTTTCTGATATTATTTACTGCAATTTTATTATAACTTAGTATCCATGTTCTAGCTAATAAATTTATTTATACTGGGATTTTATGTTACACTGTTACTTACAAACAGACTCAGATCTTTGAGAACATGAAATCAAGTGTTCAGCAAAGGCAGGGTCTTGCAGAACTGGGCAAATGATCTTTCCCTTCTGAGCCTTCATTTTGTTCACATAAGCATGATATTTATTTTGTTTATGATCTAATGATCTAATACATACAAAATTCTTTTATGGAGTGAAATCTCTAGAAGTAAAGTCATTACAGTCAGTTTTCAGTGATGCATACAAAATACGTATTTATTAAAATGGCTCTAGTTGTTAAGGAAAAGTAAATTATTCCCAGTTTGATCACATTAAAAGCATTAAATGTAACTCTAATGTAAACATCCGGACAGATGAAGCCACTACCCTGTTTCGAGCCACAACGCTTGCAAGCACGCTGATGGAACAGTACATGAAAGCCACTGCCACCCAGTTTGTGCACCATGCTCTGAAGGACTCCATTTTAAAGATAATGGACAGCAAGCAGTCTTGTGAGGTAAGAATGCAGTGGCCTTTTACTCTGGTCGGGGTTTTTTCTGCAGCACTAGGGAATGAACCAAAGGCCCTGACAGTGAGCTACATTTACAGCTCTGTTTTCTTTTTATTTTGAGACTGGTCTTGCTGAGTTGCCCAGGTTGGGTTCAAACTTGAGATCTTTCTGTGTCAGCCTCGCAGAGTGCAGGGATTATAGTAGTATACTACCATGTGGAGCTAAGAATTTAGTATTTTAAAGTTTAATTTTTAAATTGTTTTAGTAAATAGCATATTGTATAAGTACTGTTTTATAGCAAATTACACGTTAAGCTAAGCAGACATTAACTTCCTAAAATTATTCACCAAGGTAATTGATACATTTATTAAAAAAAATGTTTTGCATAACAGACTTTTTAGGTGCAGTAAGGCTAAAAGTGTAGCTCAGTGGTGTGCACTTGCCTGGCACGCATGAGGCCCAGAGTTTGATGCCCAACACCACATGTAGGCATACACTAGGGTGCTTTAAAATTTTGGGGTTGGAATTCGTCAGGTTGTACCAGAAATACATGAAAGTATTTGACAGTCCTGAAGTAGTATTCACGTGTACACTACTTTTAGAGCATGCATAATATAGATTGAATGCTTTTCCAGGGCCTTATGGGTTGTCCTAAGTTTGAGTTTGCCTTAATTCAAAATGATGGGAACCAGCATTGTCTTAAAATTTGGAATATTTTCATATACATTATAAGATCTGTTGGAGATGGGATTCGGTTGTGAATACAATTAATTTGTTTCATAATACTTTATATAAATAGCCTGCAAATAATTTTATACTGTATTTTTGGAGCTCCTATGTTTTGATTGTGGCCTATAAGGTTGGGTATCAAATTTTCCATTTGTGCAAACATGTCCCCACTCGAAAAGGTGGGAAATTTGATGCAGTTAAAAGTTGCCTGGATTTGAGTTTGGGATGCTTGTTTTTTTGGGGGAAAGATGGAATTAAGAGAAAAATAAAGGATTTTTTAGGGTCAGTAAGGCTACAAGATGAATTTATAATAAACCATTAAAATCATGAACAGAATAGTACTTATGTGGCTGTTCTCATTTTAAAAGCAGAGCAGTTACAAAGGAAGATGCTGGATTTAGATTTTTAGACTTGATACAGAATCAGTAAAATCAGGGATTACTTTTCATACTGGGGGCTTTCAAATGTAATTTTGCTCTCCTTGTCAGTTTTCATGTCCAAGTTAAGGAGAAGAAGTAAGTGATCTAGTGTGCAGTGCAGGGTCTTGCCCGCGCCTAACCTAACCATGCAGGGTGACATAGAACACAGCATGTCTGTGGGGAGCTCTGCGGTTCAGAGAAACGTAGGGAACTCGGGCCTTCATCGTGCCCAACCACAACTCTTAAGATTTCAGCGACTACTAGGAAAGCTTTTAAAAGGCTCAGGATGTTATCTAAGGTATTTGGTAATTATTAGCTATTAATTAAATCTTACTCAGAAAATGCTTTTCATCATTTTTTCCCCTCAAGTAAATAGAACTGGGTAATCACTGCTTACTTCTCAGTGGGACCCTGGGAATGAGAGAGCAAACCTGCTAGGACTTCTGTAGGGCAGAGCACTTCAGAATCCCTTCTCACACACAAGAAGATTTCCATGCAGCAGAAAAGAGAGAACCTTGGAAACTGCTTGATATACTTGGATTTACCATTGCTAGGGTGCATTTACATTGGTTTGTTCTGTCTCTTAGTTAAGTCCATCAAAGTTAGAAAAAAATGAAGATGTGAACACTAACTTGGCACACCTATTGAACATACTGTCAGAGCTGGTGGAGAAAATATTCATGGCTTCTGAAATCCTGCCACCGTAAGTAGTGAGATTTTTGTTTGACAAGAAATTGTCTACCTTTTTTTGAAAAAATTTTCAAATATAAGAGCTTTCCATTTCCCATAATTCTGAAAGAGTTATAGTTCAGATCTTTAAAGATGAATTGTTTAAAGAAAAAAAGTTTAAGAAACTACAACGAAATACTCTTATTAAGCCAGAATGAAACGCTCTGCTTAATAAGGCAGAGCATTTGTTATATGGGTGTAGTTTGCAAAGGCCACGGTGGCCTGTTTCTCAGGTCTCGGGAGACACACTGGATTGTCTCTTAGGTCTATAATTTCTCATTTAGAACGTGTGCTGGAGAGGTGGGATCTGGCCCAGGGGAGAGTGCTTGCCTGGCATGATGAGAACTTGGGTTGAATTCCAGCAGTGGAAAAAACAAAAAACAAAAATGTGTAACAGGTATCATTATCACTCAGTGTCTGTTTAAAGGCCTACAGTGTTGGTGAATTTATTTATTCAGGAAGTATTTAAAATCAAAATCTTTCTCCCAAAAACTTGGTACCATATTAGTACCACACTTAATACTTGTTTTGTAATTTTCATTGACATAAAAATAGCCTTAAATTGATGGTAACTTATTGGCTTATCTTACTTGTCCTTTGCCAAAAGTCTCGCATTATTTTTGGCAAAATACTTTTTGAGGGGGGAAGGTCAGTGTAAGCTTTTGGTTGCCATAAGATCAGTGTTTTTCACTTGTTTTCTTATTACAGTAATTGTTTTTTTTTTGGCAGGACGCTGAGGTATATTTATGGGTGTTTACAGAAATCCGTTGAACATAAGTGGCCTACCAATAAAACCATGAGAACAAGAGTTGTCAGGTAAGGCTCACCTGTTCCTTTGTTGTATCGCCAGACATAGCACATACTGATGGTGCACACACAGTGAATAAAGATACGGACATCTGGTGTTACAAGAAAAGCGCTAATCAGACATTTAGATGTTGACCAGCTGGTTTGTAAGAAAATCTCTGATGGGAGCATCATCTTCTGTCAGAGCTTCTAGTTTTGAAGGTCTGTTTCACATGTGCCTATTCTACAGTAATTAGGAAATACTCCTCTGACAAGTCACAGAATTTAAGGCTTGTGTATGGAGACTCCAATATTATTCTAACTTATTTGTCCAATAAAGAAGCAGTTCTGGAGAGGTTAAATTGTTTGCCTACAGGGCTAGGTGTGGTAATGTAAGCCTGTAATCCTAGCACTTGGGAGGCTGAGGCAGAATGCCACTTGAGTTTGAGGTGAGCCTGAACTACATGGGCCCTGTTTCAAAAAAAAGAAAAGTAAAAAGCCTAAAGCTGTCAGAAAGTACCCAAGGCCAAAAGTAACATAACCTTCTAAGATTCAACCTGGCATCTCTAGCACTGCTGCAGTTTTGTTAAGCATGTAACAAGCAGTACAACCTAACTGGATGTTTAGTACAGAAACATCAGTGAATATGGTTATTTTCTAGTTATATACTGTACTGGTTAGCATAACTCTGCAAGTTAGATTAAATTTCAAAATTTAAAGGCAAAACAGGAAAAATAATTAAAGATAATAGTATCATAACTGCCTCTAATACAAAACTTTGTGAAAGAGCTTTTTTTGCAGATACAACTATATGCTTATAGTCTGCTCCTTGAGAAGGCTGAGGCAGGAGGCTTGTGAGGTCAAGGTCAGCCAGGGCAACTAAGGGAAACCTTGTCCTAAAAATAAAAACCAAAGTAAGAACACAAACAAAAATTCCATATACCAGTAAAGTAAAACCATTCTCTTTGGGATCAAGGGGCATGGCCCAGTGGCAGAGCATCTGCCTGAGTCAGTCCCTGGGACTGTCAAAGGGGCAACAGCTTTCTGGGATGCTTAGGATACATATTTGAAAGTGATAGATTCTATATCTAGGCTTTAGTGGTGGATGGTATAAAAGGAATGAGTTACAGTCTTAATATTTCAGTGTAGCTATGTGTGTGATGGAAATAAAGCTGTTCTGTAAACCAAAGTGTAGTTGTTAAGCAAATAAAGCGGATTTGGTGCAGTAATGGGGGCATTCGTGCCCCAGATGATTTCTGTTCCTGGTAAGCTTTTAAATATGTATATTTAATACATCTTTCCATTTAAAACCACCTCCAAAAACTCCTGAAGTCAGTGTGCACACTGAGATTCTTAGGTCAGTGTTGGTAGGTTAGGCTTTTAGGTTCCCAGACCCAAAACATTTTATAGTGAAATTTAGGCAGAAATCTTCATGAAGTAATTTAAGAGAAATCCAGATGTAAAGACTTAGTTCTTGTTACGATATACTTGGTATATGTGCTATTTGAAAAGTAAGATTCATTTTCTAAGAGTGCAAAATGAGAAAACTGCCATACATTTCAAGATGAATGCTGAGAAGCTAGATTATGCACTCTTGCACAGGGCAGGTAAAGGGCTATGTGGATTTCTCTTAAAAGGACATGAAAATTATTTACATAACAACATGTACTTTCTACTCGTGACTGAAGGAGATGGAGTAGAATATGTATAAAGTTACATCTCACTACCACTGTTCCCAAAGTAGAATTAGCAGTTAGTATCATGTTTTTGCTATTATTTTATGACTTGATAGCTTTTAACTTTAGAACTCATAATGCCTTCCTTTAGATTTCCATTTATCAAGTCACTTCTGTAGTGCAGTGGATTCCTATTTTTATATGAAGTGTCAACAAAATTGATGAAACCAGCTTGACTTACAGTTATTAATAAGAGAAGCAGAATGAGAGAATAATGAAAGTTTTGGAATATCACAGAAATACAGTATATACAAAAGGTTTATTTGTACTCCTACACTATTTCAGAAATTCTTAGGGCTCCTAAGGATATCACTACCTCTAAGTAAGGATGAAATAAACTGCAAATCTGGAATAAGTAGCACCTAAGACAGTAAATGTATTGTTAAACTTAACATTTTCCTAAAGTTAATCTAAAATTCTAGTTTTGAAAAAAGTAATACAATCAAGAAGCATAAATTTTAAAATATGATGCTTTGACTGTTTTCTTAAAGCTATGTTTGTGTTTCCCTATGGAATTTAAAGGCTGAGGTACTATGAATATTAAAAATTTCTGTCTAAGGGCTGGGGATTTAGCTCAGTGGCATTAAGCGCCTGCTTTGCCAGTGCATGGTTGTGAGTTTGATCCCTGGTACCCAAAAAAAAAAAAAAAAAAAAATTCTGTCTAGCTAGCACTGTGGCACATACCTATACTCCCAGGTACTCAGGAGGATGGAAGGAGAAGGCATGTTCAACACCATAGTCGGCAGCTTACCTGCCTCAAAATAAAATTTAAAAGAAAGGAGCCGCAGATTTAGCTCAGTGGTGCAATCGCCTGCCTTGCAAGCGTGCAGTCATGAGTTTGCTCTGTGGCACCAAAAAAAAAGAAAAATGAAGGGGGTGTGGCTCAGCACTGGCGCCCTTGCTTATCAGCATGTGTGCAAGGCCCTGAGTTCACGTTTCAGTACCGTCCCCCCAAACAAGCATACAGTTCTGTTTATATTTATTTCAATGTAATATATATATACATATATATATATATATATATATAAAATGGTTTTCTAAAAAAAAATTTCCCTCCTATTCAGTGGTTTTGTTTTTCTTCGGCTTATCTGTCCTGCCATCTTGAATCCACGGATGTTTAATATCATCTCAGGTAATTAGCTTTTGTTAAATTTTGAAATGAGAAAAAAATTTTAGAATAAAGTTTCACTACTTGGTAAGAGAATTCATTTTGTCTTTTAAATCTGATTTTTAAAAATTACCCAATTACACTATAAAGCATTCCAGAGTATACTTCCCATTTTTGTTCACCTTTTCTGTTTTGCTTCTTGCTTTTCTTTTTCCTAATGCCAAAGATGGCAGAATTACACACATTCTACTTTCTGCTCCGTGTCTTAGTCTGTAACTACGTTTTTGCAAGTTGGGAAGAATTTTTGTGTGCTCATTAGATGCTGGACTGCTGCAAGTCATTTTTTCCTAAGACCAAATTAAATTTCTACATATAGTTGCAGTGTTTGTGAGTACTCAGGAAAAAGTAGCTCTGGCTGTACCCAATGAAGATGGTCACAAGTTGTGTGTTAGTATCTTAGACACTGTAAACCTGAGTTAGTTTTGCTCATTACTTGTATATCCATTGTGGAGTGATTTTCAGATGATGTAGGCTTCTTTCAAAGAAAGACTAACAGTGTGTCTCTGGATGTAAAATGAGCCATTAAAGAAGGCACCAGAACTGTAGTTACCTTCATAATTTGAAGTTCAAAGCTCTATAAAACATACTTTTAATACTCTTAATACTTACTTCTATAGCCATATTTCTGTAATTGTTGATACTAAAATGGTTAAATCTATGACTTAAGAATTAGGAGAATTTCTTTTAAGAGATCTGCAATTTATCTGACTGTTCATCTCTGAACTCCTCACCAACAATACATTTTAAAATCAAGCTCTTGGATAGATACTTGTCGTATTGTTAAGTAGTTACTTAAATTAGTAGCTGAAATAATTTTTGTTTATATTCTACTGTCTATGTTCTATAGGAATGTGTTGTACCTGAACTTTGAAATATTTAAAGCCTTACTAAGTTTCATGTTTTTTTCCACAAAATAAAACACAGGTCCCAGATTTATCTTTGGTCTTCATCTTTTTTTTTTTTTTTTTTTTTTTTTTGGTGCCGGGAATTGAACTTACAACCTTGCGGTTGCCAGGCAGGCGCTTATGCTGTTGAGCTAAATCCCCAGCTTGGTCTTCATCTTTAAGTGAAATATGCAATAAGATAAAACTTTGTGAGGTATTTTGTAGTAGTAGCCAGTTGGGAGTTAACTGATATTTTTGGTACACTTTTTGAAAGAAAACTTAAAAGCACCAATAGGTGTTTGATTTTTCCCATTTAACTCAAGTTCTTTTGGATAGGTCATACAGTTTTCAGAGAACAATAAGTTTTGAATAGAATGCTAGCCTTTTTAATTTCTACTGGCTTACCTGAAATCACCTTTGGAGTTGATATCATTAGCTGTCCCCAATTCTTTTATAGATTCCCCATCTCCTATTGCTGCAAGAACACTGATATTAGTGGCTAAGTCTGTGCAGAATTTAGCAAATCTTGTGGAATTTGGAGCTAAGGTAAAAGCATTTCGATATTTTAAAGTATAATTTGTGAAACAATCAGTAAATATTTCATAAAAATTTTAATCACACATGAAGGATATTTGTTGATGTGTTCGTAAAATGTCTAGGTTAGCAGAACTTTAAAAACCATTATTTTACCCACTATAGGAAACTAATTTCTAAGATCCAGTACATTCAGACTTTTCCATTTAAACTCACTGGGCATGGTGCAAATGTAGTCATGGTGTTTTGCCATAAACATTTGCTGCAAACACTGCATAATTCAGATGAGTTGTTAAAACATGTATGATCATACTATGGATAACAGTTGCTTGTTTTCCCATTGGGATCATGCTATCCCTTGCTTTCGTCACTTAATGTGACATTTTTTGTGTCAAGAAATATACAGCTGACTTAGGGTCAGGTTAGTACACCATCATGTGAATGCTAAATTATCATCTATTGGATAGTTAGATGGGTTCCGATTTGTTACTGTTACTGCTATACCTAATATCCTTTGGTATACTTTCATACTTGTCCATTTATTCCCTAAACTTTGGAGGATAATTAAATATCCATCTTAGGCTTTTGCTGTTGCTTATAAGACTGCCTATCAGCAGGATTAAGTTTTTTGTTTTTTTTTTTTTGTTTTTGTTTTTTTTACTTCTTTATAACCTTGCCAAAACTTGTGTTTCATTATTTCATTCCTGTAAAGACTCTTCTAGTTTTTCAGTGCATCTGCCAGACTAATTTGGTTCAGAATTTCTCATTCTTAAAACACTCAGTTCCTTATGATAGCTGTTTTTAAGGAAAATAGTAGCGTGTGATTACATTTGTATTAATTGGAATCTTTGCTACCTATGTATGATTTTTGCTATAGATTAGACCATTGTTTATTGTACATAAAAGCTTTTTATTTTCTTAGGAGCCTTATATGGAAGGTGTGAATCCATTCATCAAAAGCAACAAACATCGTATGATCATGTTTTTAGATGAACTTGGGGTACGTATATGATTTTCAAGTATTTAGAGACTTGCACTTGGTATATACGAGTTAACTTTTCTAAGTTAACAACCTTTATACAAGTTTTTTTCTGAACAGTAATTTTTGTTTGTAGTTAAATACCATTTATTCTATACTGATTTACACAAAGAACACTGTTGTAACTTTTCCACTACCTGCATAAAACTTGTAGTTTCATGTTGCTTTAGCTATTCCATTCCAATTACAGTGACATTCTGAAGACTCTGAAATAAAGATGGGCAACCCACAGTTCTGCCTCAAATATGTAAATAAAGTGAGTGCTCTTATGGTTATTCTAGGAGTCAAACACACGCTTTTGGTGATTTACCTCATTTAGCATGACTACCTATACCTCACCAATGCCTTTATAAATAATAAAATTGTGACTAAAAGTTAAAATAAATGAAATATATTTAATTTTTTTTTTTTTTTTTTTTTTTTTTGTCTTTTTCCTTTTTATCGGTACCAGGGATCGAACTCACGACTGCCAGCTTGCAAGGCAGGCGCTTATGCCCCTGAGCTAAATCCCCAGCCCCAATATATTTAAATTTTTAAAATCCACTGTTTCTTGGTATAATTAAATCTTCTGGATTATAGTGATTAGTTTAGAGACTAAGTCAGTTTTAAACTATTGAAACTAGTATGTTAGCTTACCCAGACAGAAACTGGAGAGTAGCATAGACATGGAAACTGACCCAGGCTATGACTAAGCAGGAGGCGGAAGGGCCCCCCCATTCTGGTTTACTTCGTTCAGGTCAGCAGTGCCGCACCACTGCAAGGAGGGAGTCGAACGACCTGCAGGGCCTCAGGTTGCAATCTTAGGGAAGACCTTAGTGTGTTTCCAATGATCAGAATATGAACTCCTGGGACACTTGCATATCAATATTCCTAATTACGAGAAAAATACAGCTGCTTGGTGCTGAGAAAATATTTGCTGTAATTTTTAAACATCTGCTTGGGAAATATGTACCTGCTGTTTAAGGTGGTTTTTTCTTAGGTTGTGTTTCTAGGCACTAGCTTTTCTGTCACTCTTGGTTATACCACAAAACCTTGCCTTTGGAAGCTGCACAGAGTCTACAGATCCAGACACACCCCCAGTCTGCTTTTGTTCCTTCACTACCTAAATACATTAATTCATTTTTGAAAAGTCACATCTTGATGTTCTGCTTCCTATTTCTTCCCTATCATCATTAGCTTACATTTAAAAAAAAAAAAAAAGGTCTTTTAGTTTTTTGAGAGAGGGTCTTGCTCTGTAGTTGAGGCTGGCATTGAGCTCATTAAGTAATCTAGGCTGGCCTCAAACTTGTATAGACCCTTCTGCCTCAGCCTCCTAAGTGCTGGGATTATACAGACGTGAACCCACCATGCCAGGCTGGTTTACACTTCTGTTCTTTCTGCTATAAGCCTTATGAAGGCAAATACTGATGCCTGTCATTTCTATAATTCTTTAAGTTCTTGATGTATAACTGGGTCAGTAAGAGTGAATGTGCTTTAATGCTTTTCTATACCATAAAGACCAGAATTTTCCAGTTTCTAGACACATACAACAACAAACATTACCATTAAATAGATGAGTACATTTATGTTTTTGGTTAACCAAGCCAATGTTAAATTTTACTCTAAGACTTGAAATAATACTGATTAGTGTTATTTGTGCTAATAATGAACTGTCATAAACTGTTCTGAGTCACTTCATGAACCGTATTGAAAGGAAACCGTGCGTAACCCTGACGCTTCTCACAGTAGCCGATAGAGTGTCATCCACAGACGGCTCGACAGGTTTCTGTTAAGTTTTAAGTGGCTCTGTTAATGAATTTGGACAAACTACCTCTAGCTTTATTTATGAAAGTCAGTCTGGGAATTTTCAATTGAAATTCCATCTAATCCAGATTAGCAGTTAATGTCTATACTATTTGTCACATGTTCTAGATTTTTAAAAAACCAGCAAACAGAAAACGTCATATATGTGTAGCTTATTGTTCAGAAATGTGTTTTAGAATAACACTATTAAGCCATGTACTGACATGCTATGAAGAAAATGGAACATGGCGTTCCTGTGAATACAGAAATTACAAAACCTGTTGGAACTTTTTGTGTATGAATACATTTTAATAAACCTTAGGATTTTCAGAGAAATTTTTTTTTTTTTTTTAATCGGTACCGGGGATCGAACTCACTACTGCCTGCTTGCAAGGCAGGTGCTTATGCCGTTGAGCTAAATCCCCAGTCTCCAGAGAAAAATTTCTAATTAAACATCCAAAATTTTAAGAGTATGTTAAAAATTCTACTTAGTGTACTCACGTAGAATCATTTCAGAAGATACCGTAAAAATTTGTATTTCTAAATGCAGTTTTATGATTCCCTTAAAGAATGTACCTGAACTTCCGGACACTACAGAACATTCTAGAACTGACCTGTCTCGTGATTTAGCAGCACTGCATGAAATCTGTGTGGCCCATTCAGATGAACTGCGAACACTCAGTAATGAGCGCGGTGCACAGCAGGTAGGTTTTTACTGGCTATTCATTAATGACGGTATTTCCTTAGCACCTACACTGGATGGCAGCTAGGGCTGAGATGTAAATTCCTAATTTGTTCTGATCAACACTGTTGCAGTTAGGTTACAATTTTTAAGAATCTGATTCATAATCCAGAAAGATCTCAGCTGAAGGCCCACTGCAGCCAGCATGGTGGCACATACTTGTAATCTCCCAGCACTCAGATTGCTAAGGCAGGAAGACTGCAACAATTTCAAGGCCAGCCTGGGCTACATAGTGAGCTCAAGGGCAGCCTGAGTTACAATGAGGACCTGTCTCTGAAAACCAAAAATAAAGGGCTCAGACTAAGATGTGCCCTCATACTGCCAAATGTCAAATCTTGTTTTTAAATATAAAATGTTAACTCTCCTGGAAGATGACGGCATTCATACACTTTAACAACAGCGTATGCAAAAATGACAGGCGAGTTTAAAGTAGGGCAGTAATGGTTTTGTCTTTCAGACATACTCACCCTGGGAGTGTGTGGCCAGAGTGATTCTGACATTATGATACATATGATTGTTTGTGAAGTTTGGTGAAAATATGTATTTTAAGCTTCATACCCAAAGACTTCGGACAAGCTTTTGTGGGAATTTAGATCCACGTGGATTCTAACTCACTCTGACACACACTAGTTGCTATGAGTAGAAATGTGCTATCCAAATAGATACACAACAGGATGCTATTTGGAGTCAGCTATTAGAGATGTAAGGAACCATGTGTTGAACGGCCACAGTTGGGCCAAGATCCACGACAGGAAGTTACTGGCAGCAGATGACTGGAGCACATGGCAGAAGCGTCACTGGTGGTGCAGCAGAGTGAAGTGAGTGTTTCATAGCACCGGCTATGTGTTTGGCAGGATTTCCCCAAAGAAATTAAAATACTGAGTTTGGTGATTCTGAGTCTTCATCAGTGTAAGGTTAGAATCCTAAAGGCCCCCCCCCCAATTATTTATATAATAGTATTGTTACTAGAGTCCCACTCTAGTAAAAAGTTTTTGATTCATTTAACTCTAGGTTTGTAAGGACAGATCTGTCTTTGAGTGAGGTCAGTGTGCAAAAATTCTCTATCTTGGCTGCAACCAAATACATGCATTCAAGGTCCAAACAGTATAAACTCACAAATTTGAACAGAATGCTAGTACTCTTTCATGACTTGGTTCCTATCCTGGAATTTTGAAGCAGGCTACTATTTATTTACTAATAATTTCCCCTTGTATTTCTTTCTGTCTAGCATGTATTGAAAAAGCTTCTGGCTATAACAGAACTGCTTCAACAAAAACAAAACCAGTATACAAAAACCAATGATGTCAGGTAGCAGCCCTCTGGGGCTCCGTGTGGATTCAGCTTGCCCAATATGGTAACTGACACCAGTGTAGTATCTCTCTGCTCTTGCCAAAAAAATAGCACACCTTTCCACATTCCAGTGATGTGTGAGCTATGCAAACCAAACTGAAGACTCTGCTGGCAACTCTCTGCCGGCGCCTCTGTGAGCTGTTTGTGCAGGATGTTTGCACTTCTCCACATGGACCCTTCACCGAACTGAGCCTGGGTGTACAGATCACCTTCCACAAACGATGCTAGGACTGCGTGTTCAACTCTGAAAGTATATTTTCAATACATCCAATTGCCAAAGTTTTGCTGTCTCTTGGAAAAAGAACTATGAAACCAACTGACAAAAAAAGCATTCTGTTAACACCTAAGGATAACCGGACTATAGACTGCTCTTACAGTAACACCTGACTAGGGATATGACCATTTGACTGTTCAATGACTGTATTACAGTTTCCAGGGTTTGTCATTATAATAGGAACAATCTTTGCTATATACTTTTTAAAAATACTGTGCTATTTCTCATTCTGGAACTGTTGAAAGAAAATATATAGAATGGATTTATTGCTCATCAGCTTTATTTTTTAAACATACCACTTATTTTGTTGGAATTGTCAAAGATTGTATTTAGATCTCAATGCTTTTGTTAAATGTTTACAACAGTAAATAGTTTGAATTCAGTAAATATTATTGGTCATTGTACTGATCAGTGCATGTTACCCTTTCAACCATTTTATAGCTCCCAATTTCTTTTGTGTAAAAAAACCAAACAAACAAGAAACTAGAATGCTTTTAACTCAAAAGTTGATTTTTGTTACCCCTTTGATTATGCAGACAGCCTCATCAGCCACTAAACACAACTTACCATCTTTGAACTTCTGACTACTTGTATCTGCTGGGCTGGATATTTAGTCGGACTGTATAGTTTTATTTGCTTCTGTATGTGTATTTTTGTGCAGTATTCACAAGGGTTAAGTTAAAATAAAACCAAGGGAGATCTTACGTGATTGTTTAAAATGTTACCAAACATTTAATTTCATTATTTTCTTCCTCTTTAGGGGCAGTTCAAACTTCGGAACCAGAGCAAGGCCCAGGAGATGGAACTTCAGATCATGATTTTTGCTAATGTCTCTTTTGAAAAACACTCCTACTCATTTAATATATATTTGTTACAGTTATTTCCTTTCCCATATGTGTGCAGGGGAGGCAAGACAGGAGAAATACCATGTCGTGAAATACTAGTAATAAAAGTGGGTGAGATAGGAACCAAGTGTGAAGGTATAAGATGAGCAGTTGCCAGAGTAAAGACAAAGTTTCTCAATGCCTACATTCCAAAAGGAACACTTGATTCTGTTAACACTTAAAACATGGGAAAAAATGGTAACTTTCTTCCTCAGTATTGGGGATAGAATATTTATACCACTGAGCGACACCCCCAGCCCCTAGTGTTTTAAAAGGTGGCTGTTTATTCTTAGTTTTACATTAGAAAGGTGATTACTTCTGCCAAGGCAGCTGGCCTAACACAGCTTCAGTCACACCTCCACAGTATTTACCCAAACCCAACACCTCTTTTAGTCCTTTCTCTTGATCTTAATGCCACCTCTAAACCATGTCACTGTACTTTCCTTCTCTACCCCTCATGCTTTTTGGTCAGACCACAGCCTGTCTCCACTTGGTCTCCCTTGTTTACAGGATGCAAGGAATATGGCCTAGTGAGACTTCCTGAAATGTTTTAACAAGTAGAAAGGTTCTGACCTACCTACCATTCCAAAATCTTTCTCCCATGCTGTTGATTATAAAACACAAACCTGAAAAACTTACCCTGCTTTTTGTGTTTCAATGTTTCTCTCTTAAGTTGGAGTGGGAAACTTACTACTTATCTTTGTAGACCCCTCCCTGACTAGATGGTCAGTGTGGCAATAAAATCTGTGAAACATTTTTTCTATTGGGGCTGGATAGGAAATTTTCAGGGATAAATGTGGAACTTGCCCACTTGTCGAGTGGTCTGAAAGGGAAACAGGAGGAAACTAAGCGTTTTTGCAGTTTTGTCTCAAGCGCATAATGCTAGGACTACACTTGTGGGATTTCAGAACAACAAAACCAAAAATTATCAAAAAAACCCTCAAGCCTAAAACAGTAATATATTGCCATTATATGGTAAGACCTAAGAAAAAATGCTCACTACCCTAGTGTAAAGTACATCCTTGCATGCATTGAGTCTGAGGTGTGTATCTGCACAATTTAGATCCAGGGCAGCTGCTGAGTTTCTCACAATTTCATGTCAGTTTTCCAGAAACAAATGTGGCCTGATAAAACACATCCACGGCCTGTTGCAGCTGTAACCGCTAACATCTGTTCTGCTCTTGAAACATTACCAATGCACATGTCCATCAGCTTATGAAGGTTCTGCTCTGACCCATCCTACAAAGGGTAGGCACCGTCACTGTCATTTTATTTGAACGTGGCAAACCAGCACACTCAAGTTTACTGACTTAGCAAGGTCAGAGTAAAGCAGAGGCAGCGCTGACTCACAGCTCAGTAACCTGGTGCTGTATTCTTTTGTTTTTATGTTTATATCAATTCATTTCAACTTGAATGAAATTCCTTGTATATATTTCATTTGCAAAATTCCTAGTAACTATAACACTTATATAAATTTACTGAAAGTAAATTTAAAACTATAATTAGATTATATCAATTTAAGATTCTTGTCAACTCTTGATTACATATCTAAATATTTTAAACTTAGAAATGATTTCTAATAACAGAGGGGGAAAAAAATCAGTACCCAAAAAGACAACTTTCAGTATCAAGTAGAGGATCAAGTAGTTGAACAGTCCTTACACAAGCTAAGTACACGAAGATGGTCAGTGGGCAAAGTACTTCCTTGCAGTTTTATCATTCAGGGGCAATTGGGTGTCGTTAGGCTTCTGAACATGTTTTATTTTACACAAAGCTAAGAAGAAAGGATCCAAGTGGAATAATAGAAAAATTTAATGATTTGTGTTAACATGAAATGCCAGGTAACATTTTCCGCTGGTCAGAACTGACATAGCAACTTCAAACATTCAGAGAGTCTACCAGGTCGTCATCAGTCCATTCTTCCTAAGGAGGGAAAAAACGTGGTTAGGGTAATACAGTGATGCATGCCCAGTGTAGTTTACCTCTGACCCTTCGGGAGAATCCTGCCGTGACTTATGCTGAGGACAGGACTACATGTACCGGAAAACAGCAGCACACTGCTCTTTACTCTGCCCGCATGGTCTTACCAGCCTCCTCCGTGTGCACTACAGACTACAGCTGTAATCTCCTGCCTCTGACTACTCCTTGAACCTGACTTGCCAAGAACAGTTTTAAAGGAAGCTGTCAAGGAGGAATCCTTGGAGAACACAAGGAAAGCAAAACCTAAATGTGTATATATCCTTGCTGCAGTCTACAAATACAGGAAGGATTCTTCCATCGACTAACTTCCACTGCCTCACAACAAGCTAAGACAGAAGCAAGAAAAATTCCTTTAATAAAGCTCAATGTACATAAAAATGCAAAAATAGGAAGAACAAGAAAGTCAAATCTCTGAAATGCTCTGGAACAATAAATCTTAATGTGTTAACAAAAATGCAGTCAGCTGTACCTTTGGAGTTAACGTACCTCTTCATGTTTGGATTTCTTTGATACATAGTCATCATCTTCATAGCCCTTCCTCTTCTTTCTGTAATTAAGCAACTACCAATAAGCAATCTGGTACTGGCAACCAAAACTATAAAATAAGTCTCTGACTATCTAAAAGGACAGGGCTAGGAAAGATGTAGAATTATGGCTATGAAGGCAATACTTGTTAAATCAGTGCTGAACTCCAATGCAATTCCAATTAAAATCCCAATAAACTTTTCCTTGAAACTGGTAAAGTCAAACTCTGACCTAGGAAGAAAACAGGAAAAAGTAGCTAAGAGAATCTGCAGAAGAACAATGCTGAAGGTCCTCATCTCAGTTATAAAAGTACACTTAAAACTATAGCCATTAAGTACATAGTTATTACATGCCAGCCTTTAAAATGACCAGTAGAATTTAGTCTGTGTTTAAAAAAAAAAAAATCAAATAACTGAAAACAGATTCAAAAGCAGGCTGGAACTAAGTATCTGAAAAAGCTACCTCACCACAAAAAAAAAAAAATTGAAGTTTTAAAAGCTAACCAAAAAGTAAATATTAAAATTTTTACACATAAACACTGAAAAGAGATGTGTCACACAAAGGTGAGTATGTAACATTTATAAAGAACAAGAAAATAGTGCCAAAAAACTGGGAAACCATAAACTAATACGGAAAAAATCCAAATGACCCTTATCCACAGGAACATCAATGGCTCACAGTAATCAGAGAAATATAAATTAAAATACAAGTATGATACCATTTATTTCACCCAGACTAGCAAAGATGAAAGGCTAGTAACAAAAAGTGTTGTGCCATGTATGAAGACAGCAAAAAAAAAAATCGGAAGTATTTATTATACACACAAACACACACACATACACAACTGCAGAAACAAGTTACTTTTGAGGCTGTGACATAGATTGGTTTTGGTTAAAGGGAATTCTAGTTATTGACAATACAGTTCTTGTGTAACAAAAAAGAAAGGTAAAAGAATTTTAAAGGTAAAGAAAAACAAGTATTTTGTCTTGGTATTGCTATGCATAGTGTGGTCCGTAACTCCTGAGTCAGGCATGCCTTATAATTGCACCACTGTGGGAGGCTGAGGCAGGAGGATTGAAGGTTTAAATCCAGCCTGAGCAACTTGAGACCTTTTCTCAAAATAAAAAATGAAAATTAAAAAAGGACTGGTAATATGGCTCAGTGGAAAGGCCCTGGGTTCATCCCGGTACCTCCAAACCAAATAATAAGCTGGCAATTAGAAATTTGGGGTTAAGATCCATTTACTTACCTAGCTAAAGAGTAACACTGTAACTGTTCAGAGTTCTCATCTACAGGTTGATAGACTTTAAAGGGCTCAGAATAAATATTTTAGGTCTTGTAGGCCACAACAGTTTGTCACAATCAACTTTTCTGCCATTGCATGAAAACAGCTGCAATAATACGTAAATTGAATTTATACTATGTTCTAGTAAAACTCTCTTGGAAGAACGCATCAGATTCAGCCTGTGGACCATGACTGGCCAATGTCTGGCCTTAGACTGTCCCAAAAATTGGTGTGAAAACATGAGTGCTATAGCACTGATTCATTAGTCAGCATTTCTTCTCTTTCTTTCTCTACTGAAATACAGGAAGGAAACCTGTGAATTTCAAGTCCTATGCCATGCTTTGAAGTTACAGCTATGATTACAATAAAACAGTCCTATCCTGTACACACTTCATACGTCCCTGGATCTCTCTACTACATCTGCATAAAGGGTTTGAGTTAGGTACCTATTTTAAAGACCCTGAAATGTTTTTATGGCTTGTCATGCATATCTGCAAGCATATATTTACCAGTTACAACAGAGATGAAAGTATCTCTAATGTATCTTAACTACAAGTTGCCATAAACTCCCATTAAATTTTAACAAATTTTCAAATCAGAATGCAGTCCACAGAAAGTACCTTGCTGAATATTCCTATTACTGTCCCAAACAACTACCTAAATTCCTTAATGTTATGGTTTCTTTATGCAAAATGGAAAGTGCAAATTTTATGGTGAATTCCACATGGGCCTACAAATTAAGAGATGTGTGCCTGAGGCTGCAAAAAGAGAGCTAACAGCCCATTTTCCTATAGATTGTTTTCAATACAAAATTTCTCACTGGAAGCAAATATACCAAATTTTCCTACACTAGCTAACCGTACTTGTTCCTTGGACCACTTAGATGACCTGTGAAGAGACCAAAGATTGAAAGGACAGGCAGAAGTTCAGAGGTCCCCAGCAAGACATGGACCCTGGATATCCCACAACAGAACAGAGTGGACAGGACAAGATTTGCAAGCCAAAGAACACTAGTGACAGACTAGATCTGTATAATGATCAAAACTATACAGTGGCCAAATGACAATGTTACGTATGATCTCATTAACAAAGTACACTCAATTTTAAAAATCTGACTTAAAAGATAAGAGTTTTCTCCAGATGAACAAATGATGGATGAAATGAGATGAGATGGCCAGGAGACTAGGCAACAGACTATTGGTGAAAACTGTCCCCTCTACTTACGTGACAACATTAAGTGCAAGCTCGGCAGAGTGACATCGCTCTAGCTTCTGTTTCAGAGCAGCAACTTCTTCAGGTCTTGGTGGCTCATACTTTTTTACTAGGTTTCTCATGCCTGTGCCAAGATAAAAAGGGTCACACTGAATAAACATCCCGTTCTCACAGTAAAGGGAGCCAAATAATGAATCTCTGATCTTATTACAGAACACAAAAAATGCTCCTTACACGATTGTTCTTAGTGGGGTTTGCATCCTTCTGGATTAAATCCAAGAAGCAGCACACATTACATGAATTATGGTTGTCTGCCATCTATCCCATATTATGTACAGCATAAAGACAGCGGTATTTTTTTGCAGACACTGATATGTTCATACTTCTTGCTCAATCTTTAAAGTTTTTTCTTCTTTCTGGGTTCAATCTGCAATACCTTTTCACTGAGCTACTTAGTCCCACTGGTACAGTTTGGGACACAGTCTCACTACGCTGTCCAGGCTGGCTCTGACTGCAATTCCCTTACCTCGGCCCTAAGTTGCTAGGATACCTGCCAATTGTTTAAATCCTTGCAAGATTCAGTGAAACACTTCATTCTATACTAACCATATGTGTAACATTCTACCCTACAGAATGTGGGCCAAAAAATTATGAATATTTTAATGTTGTCAAACCTCTGAATACTTCATCAAGATTATTATTTCATATTAAAAATAAGTGGAGGAAATAAAAGTACTGAGAAGTCAGTAATAAAACTAACTTTTCAGTGAGTACACTGAAATAAGTCTCCTTTTATCTACTAAATGGTGTGATCCTGCTATCTGGCCAAACTACAATTAGCTTTGCCAGTGAACCCTCTAGTGGTGAAAATGAAGCCCTGCAGTTCCTGGCTCAACTGGAGGCCATCATTATTGAGGGAAAGAAGCCCTCAGGGTCACCCAAGCAGAGAATCACAAAATGAAGACTGTATGCTCTGAAACATCTTAATTGTAACAACAATAAACATAAAAATTACACTTGCTAACTTTCACCCAAAATCAAGCTCTGCAATCTTTCAGCAGTTTACCTGATACTTCATTAAATTTCAAGAAAAATAACAATAAACACAAAAAGGTTCGGGAATAAACACAACTGACTCAATCCCAGTAGCCCAACAGTCACAAGCATTTGTTCAGTGCCAGAGTAATAATGAACAATGGCAACAGGGCTGCCTCACACAGCTGCTCAGTCAGGCACTGATACCATTTGGTCTTTACCAGTGTCTCAACACCAGCACCATGGCATCTGGATGTGGATATTCTTTGTTGTAAAGGGTTTTATTTATATTAGTTTCCAGAGGCTGCTATTATCACAAACTTGATGTTTTAAAACAAACAAAGTGCCATGACTTCGTTTTTGGAGCCCAGGAGTCCAAATCAGGTTCACTGGGCCAAACTCCAGGTGTTGGCAGGCCACACTGGAGAACCTGTTCCTTGTCTGTTTTAGCTTCTGGTGGCTGCCTGCACAGTGTGGCTCAGGGCCACATCACTCGAACTTTCAATGTGAGCTGCTGTCCTAACAAACTGTTCAGTCTTGTACTGGGCTGTCCTTTGAACAATGTGCAACAGTACTCATCTCTCCATCTATGAAATGCTGGCAGCAGCACCCACCCTTCTCAATTGTGATGGCCAAAAGATGTCTCCAAACTGCAAAATCATGATGTGAGACCACACCTTTTGGGTTACCAATTAATGTGACAAGCAACTGACACCTATTAACTAGTTAAAACTGATCTATCTACAAAATACAAGTTCCAAATTTCAACATCATTTCTCAGTCCCCTCAGATGTACTTCCATAGCTACTGTGTATACTTTTTATTTTCATGTAACTCATTAAACCAAGTCTGATTTTCACTCTGACCATGTGCTTTTTTTTTTCTCAATTTATAACGCTTCTGTGAAGTAAAGCTAGCCCTTATTTAACAACCTATTTCTTTACTGTTGGACTTACACCCATCTGATTTTATTGTACAGGCCTGTACATCCTGTTTAAACAGCCTCAGTGTCTCTTCTTTGCATGGCACACCTTATTTATACAGTGCTGTTTTCTGCTGATTATACTGTAAAGTACAGTACAGTAGTTTTATGTTATACACTATAGTACAGTACAGCATGTAAGAGGGAAAAAACAGTAAAGAGTTAAAAAGCAAGACATTTTTTCAAAAAACGGCTTTGTGAAGTAATGTTTTACTTACTTTTCATTATGTCTAGTAACTGTGACAAGCAAGTTCTATTTTCTCGCAGCATTAGACTCTCGGATAAATAACTGATAAAGAGAAGAAAAAACCCTTAACCTCTTGAGGCATACAGCAATGAGAAACATGACATAAACTGCTTGCCTCAATGTTCATTGAAGAGACAATTTAACGATTGTTAAGACAGTATTACAGAATACATTAAACCCTGTAAAAGTATAACCTTAAACTACGATAGCCTTAAGGATTTACAAATTTTTTAGCACTCATAAGGATTCCAGCTCCCATTAGTGTCGAGGTCATGTGACACTTACCTGCTGGGGTTGGGGTGAGGGTCTATAACAGCAGAGGATCTATTATATCTCATCTGCATCAGGCCAAAGGAAACGCATTCCTTTTCTGTCAATGGGATATAAAGCCCAATTCCCAGGGATTTTTTTCTCCCAGAACTAGTAATAATAGTGTGAAAAAATTTTCTATCTAAATTTTTAGTTAAGATTTTAAATCTATAGTTGATAAAGGCTCAAGTGAACAGATTCTCAAAGCACAAGAAATTTTTCAAACATAGATACAAAAAAATACTAATTTTCCCTTGGGTAAAATGAAGTTACTAAAATGGAAAGCAATCCTTTAAGAACTATAAATCCTTTAAGAGCTTTTAAACTATTCAAGGTATATAAACTTGATTACAAGGTTTCAGTAATTAAGTCTGACACAACATCTTCAGTGCCCTTTATGGGAATTAATTTTCAAAATGGTAATCAATAATTGACAATGAGTAATTTCTGCTTGTAAGTAATTAAAAATAACTGTATTAGTTTTTCATTTCCATTTCTCCCTAAAATTCTTCACACTTTTTTAACTTTTTGTCTTCCTTTCAATTTCTTACATATAAGAGCAATACATTTTGGTTCTAAAAGCTCTTTGAAAATTCTTAAATTAACTCAATCTCAATTCTGGGTAAGATTTTTTTCAATTTTGAGTTTTAAAATATTCACAGGCAACTGAGAATGTCTAAAGAACCAAACTACCAGCTAAGACGCAGCTGTATACCCCACAGTACACAAAGGCAAATCAGAAAAACTAGAATATCTTATGAGTAATAAAATACTGTTTAAAATATAAGAAGACCTTCCCCCTTTGGAAATGGACAGTAAATATATATTCAACTTCTCAAAATACAGTTTGCCTGTAAATCAGTCTTAATGACTGGAGAACATTTTCCTAAAAGAAAAAAAAAAAAAAATGCTCAGATGAGTGCCTGGAAATGCTATAAAAGCCAGCTTAACTTGCAATAAACCTAAGGAACCACAATTTCAATTCAGCCTGTCCAGAATTATAATTCAACTTGTAAAATGAAGTAAACTCTAATCTGGACCTTATGATGCTTCATTGAATTCTACATAACTAAATTCTCACGAGAGGAGAATTTGCAACATACCATGCATAAAAACTTCAATAGATTAATGAAACTTGATTACATTAACTGTGGAAAAGTTTTTTTCTCCTACACAATAGAAGCTCTGCACCCAAATTCTACAGATATCAAATATTTACGCAGCCATCTTTCCTAAGCAAGGCAGGGATTTGTATTTTGTTCACTCTTGTGAACCTAAAATGCAGCATAATACACAGCGGTACATATAAAGTGTTAGGTAAAGACTAGAAGTTACTAATCTATTTACGTAGAGCTGTGTTTGTGGAGAAGATACATACCATAAAACCACAGTCCTTTGTTTCAGATGCAAATGTGCTTTGAAGTTTGTAATCGTTTATGTCTAGAAGGACCCTGGGATCTATACTACAGTAAGTGAAATACTCCACTAATGTCTCAAGCAGTATCCTGCAATTAGGAACAGTAATTCTTCTGCAAGGAAACTACTACCTCTATTAAATGTGGTAAAATAAAATCAATCTATTCATATTTGCTGCCACCTTATCAATGGATTTTTAAATTACAAAAGGTCATAAATAGAGCAATTAAACAAAAAGTAAACAATGCATCTAATCTGGCAAGTGACTTGAGTACAGCAGATACGTCTGCTTTGTAATGTCGCCATCCCGCCTCCCCCATTAAATCATTCAAGGGACTGTTACATCCACTTATGGGCATGTTAAAGGGTATATTTAATTAACCTATAAAATGGAATTACTCTATGCACAAGACATCACTCTGAGCATCGATGGAATTCATTTGTGAAGAGCCTAGTTCTCGGGCACGTTGCGTATTACCATTACTATTTATGGTTCAATTACAAGTGACCTGAGGACATCCCCTCCCACAGTAACCTTTTACAGGCCCTCCTGGTTCGGGGTGCCACCTGGGCTCCACAAAGGAGGAAGGAGAAAGCAGTGCAAATGCGCATCACAGCACGGTGCTTACCAGCTGAGGAACACATAAGCCCGCCACATACTCGCAACTCCCGTCTCTCCAGGGTCACCTGTTCCACCTCACCTTAGTCAGACATGTACTCCCTTAGCTCAGCACTACTTTCCTCAATTGTTAACAATTCCCCTAAAAACTGACTGCATTCCTTTCGTCATCAACGTTCTGGCCACTAGGGACCTATGAAGGAATATATTCACAAATGAACTCCACTTAAAAAACCCAGGCTCATTAAGAAGTAAACTGAGTGACTGAATCTGGCCTAAGGTATAACATAAGTTAGTACCTTTCCATAGTGATTCCAGCCCTGGAGGCACTAGATAAAATGGCAGTGAGGGCAATCTGGGAAGGTGTGTATAGGAGATAAGCATCTGTCAATGCAATTCGATTAAGAAAGTCATCTGCTGTTTTCCTCAAAACCTCTGGGTTCTCCAGCATGGGATAGCGGGTCTAGAAAAAAAGTTAGATATTAGGATTTCTGAGAGTTTAATGGAGTATTAACATTTCAAAAATATTTACATTAACCAGAATGTGCTTAATACTTAATGCTTTATAAAAGTAATCTTTCCCTACACCCAACAAAAAATACCTTGTAATCTTAATAGAAGATCGTTTTATAGAAAGTAGCAAAATTATCATCACTGAATTCTGATTGGTTAATCTTATCTTCTCTGATATGAATTTTTCTTTTAATTTAGAAGCTTTCAAAATTGTTTGAACACAAGCACAATAAAACATATGCTTTAAGCTAACACCCACTGTCCCCAGCACAGTACTACCACAGTCACTCTCACTCAGGCTTGTCATCATCCCACGACACTTGACTTTATGACAAATTCAGTCACTGCACTCGGATGGTAAACGCTTGTACTGGCTCATCTGCTAAGGTCCTTCACAGTCACTCTCCCTCCTCAGAGTCTCCGGTCACCCATCTTCCAGGTGCTGCCTCACACCAGTGTCCCCTTGTGCTCATTTTCCTCCTGAGTTTGTCCCCTGCTCCTACAGCCTACTAACAATTCTGGTTAAAGCTTAACATGTTTGTGTCCAACTGACCTTCTACTTTGCAACAATGCCCAAATTTCTGAGCACTTGCGAGGAAACCCTATGGCCAGAACGGTAACAACACTCCTGTCAATTCCCAGCCACTGACCTCAGTGGTTCCTAAATGTTGCCTAGCAATGATGAGGTTTCCAAAGAAAATCTGTTCTCCCCTTTTCCATGGGGACAAGCACTACCCACCTGTCTTAAGGTCTTTGATGATTCTCAGAAGATCACAATGGTCCTGGACGTAACACAGTCCTAGTACAAACCATGACCCACAGATTCATGGTGATACTGGGGCTGAAACCTGGGCTACCGCTAGTTTGTATAAAACCACAGCACAAACACTAATGTACGGTGCAGATCACTTGCTAATGCACAACTGTGGCACTGGCTTCTGCTTTTTGCCATTAGAGTATACTCCTGCTTATGGGGAAAACCGGTAAGAGCAGAGGCAGCTCCTTCAGGACATATCCAAGTCCTTGTTATTAGAGATGATAGTCTCAGGCACGTCACTGCCCCTGAAGACAGGACAAGATGTGGAAGTGGACAGAAAGTGATACTGATGACCCCCATACACAAGTCTAGTTTAGAATGTGTCTTAATTTTTCACAAGGGAATTTTAAAAAATTAAATTTGAGCTAGGTGTGGTGGCATACACCTATAATCCTAGTTTCTACTTTGCAATGATACCCAAATTTCTGAGTACTTCCAGAACAAACTATATAGCCGGATGTTTGATAGCACTGTCTGGAGGCTGAGGCAAGAGGATCATACATTTGAGCCCAGCCTGGAAAACATGGTGTGTTAAGAGGAACCATAGCTGACAATTATAAAAGGGCTGAGGACACTGCAAAGGCCCTGGGTTCAATCTACAGTAATGACACACACACACGCACACGCACACACATCCTAGAGCTTAGATGTGTTGTCGGTATCGATCTACGTTTATGTATATGCCATGACATTCACACAAATGATGAATCACTGAATCAGTTCCTCAAGACATATCCAGTCATTCAGTAGCTTCATGACTACACTTATTTCCTTCCTTTCAATCCAGGGCCCACAGCCAACAATCTGGCAGACTAATTTCAACAAAATCACAAAAGACCTTTCTGGCACTAAATCGAACAAATATTGCTAGTCTATTTTCACCACCTGAACTCTGAGCAGGACTACAGTTGTGCTCACCTCCTAAAAATACTTCACTTCTCTGTCAGTTCTGTCTCTGAATAGTCTTCAGTCTTCAGACTTTAGGGGCATCTTTATTTTTCCTTTGCCCTTTAAATGTCCTCACCCAATCCACCCTAAAGTCTCCTGAGCAAAGATAATTCAAGTGTATTCCTAAACTCTGCATGTCCCTGACTTCCAAATGTAAACTTCTCATTGGCTGTCTTGCAAACAATCCCAATCCACTGGATCCCAAATCAAATCCGAGCACCCTACCATCACCATGACTCTCATGCAGTCAGTGCTGTAACATCTACATGTATCCTTGAGTCACAAGTTCAGAATTCCTCCCATTGGCAGCCCACAGGTGCAATCAAGCTTCAAGTGCTACGGACTCTATTCACTACCTGTAAGGCCCAGGAAGCATTCTCTCTTGGTCATTACAGACTCAAGGCCAACTCATCTTTTCCCTTGGATTATTCTAAAAGTGCTCTGGACTATTCTAATAGTACCATTCTTCCTTCCTTCATTCCAAGCCATTTTCACAATATTCAAGACACGTACAGCTGTGCAACAAACAATCTGATGTAGACAGACACAAAAGGCCATTGACAGGACTTTTTCAAACTGTAAATCCAAATCGTCTTTTAACAGCTTCTGTCCTCTAATAGGCTTTGACACTGCCTCAGTCTCTTCTTTCCACTCAGGCAGCAACATTGGCACACACTCTTCCTTCTGTGTTTCTAGCTCCTGTTTCATTCTTAGCTTACCGGGAACCTGAGTCTCAGATGAGGAAAGTCTCACTCTCTGCATGCTCTTGCTTCACCTATCTTCTGTTCTTACTTTAAATGGTGTTTTCTCAGAAATGTCTTCCTTATTTCAGAACCTGCTCTCTTTCTAAATTGGTTTGTGTTCTCCCTCTGTAACATTTAGCACCCAAGTGTATGACAGCTGTCTGAACTGAGTCTGTAAGGTCTGTGAAAACTCAAGAGTGCACCTGTCATGTTTCTTCTCATGGCTTCAAGCATATTGCTCAGCACACAGAAGTCATCACACTGCACTACCTAAGTGAAATGAATAAGCCACTTCCATACTTTTCTTTGACTACTTGGGCTATCCAGCAATATACTCTTTTTGTAAATATTTATTTATACTTGATCCTTGTATTTGTACCTCATGTTCACAAACTCTTAAAAATACTGTGTAACAGGTCCAGATGCAAGATAATACAGGTCAGAGTCAAGAGTTAAAGTAAGTGCTTAAAAGCATTCTCGAAATTCATGATGGCCTTTCTTGTAGTCCGGGCAGGAGCTGCAGATCAGTGAATTTGAAACCTTCATTTAGTACTCACCAGTCTGAGTCCAAGCTCTCCAAGTGACTCAGATGCCTGGTAAAGTTTGAAAACTATTACCCGCAGAGCCAGTCAGATTCACAGGGTGCACACCCATTTGTAATAACTTAGGATGGTTCTAGGTTTCCAAGTTTTGGATTCTTCTTAAAGAACAACAGCATAGAACTCACTTGGTAGTTCACTTCCTGTCAATAAAGTTTACCTTTATATCAATGAGGAAGCCCTCAAATGGTCTATAAGGATTATGGACAATAAGGTGAAAATTAAGTTGCTGTATAAGGAGTAGCTCGTATTCCAAAATCTGTTCCAGCGCCTTCTCCTGTCCCAGGGGACTCTCTCGAAGGTTTCCGACAAATTGAGGACTGGACACATTAAATTCATCTACTTTGCAGGCCAGAAATGCACAAGTAAGCCTAGAAGAAAAGACGAGGACTGAGGAAGGTCATGCATATTACTTTGAAAAGTGTGTATTTATTGCTGGAAGTACTTTCTAAAATTGTCAAATATTCATTAATGACTACAGAAGATATTGTCCAATCTTTTAAAAAAAAAGTTCATTTATCTTCCTATCTTTATTCATTAGGCAACAAAAGATAGAAACTATGATCTAACATTGTCAGTGTTTAACACTGACTCAATGGCAGTTTGACATAGTTTGACCTAAAATCTGGAAAAAACAAAGTAACTGAGGAATAAAAGTAGTTTGTATCATGAAATGCAGATGGAGGAGTTAAAAACAGAAAGGTACACACATCTGTACCATGCGCCAGTGGAAGAAAAGCAGGTTCAAAGAATACTGTAGCTGGCCATTGGCGGAAATAGTGAAGCCAAGTGAGTGGGGGATTATGGGCTCAGGGCCACACCTATGAAACACGCCTGACTGCCACATGCAGTGCACAGTGAAGAGCTAGTAAGAAAGCTACTTAAGAGAGTTTTTGGAAGTTGGCATATAGAGCCTGTGTTTGATTGGTGTGAATGAAAATGAAAGAGAAAAACAGACAGAAACAATGGAATTGACAGTAAGATCCCTGATTTTTTATCAATAAGCAGAGTGTTTAGCAGAGAGTAGAAACAAATTCAGCTGAAATGATTATGCACCTACAGGATGTGAACACTGAATGGACACGGAAATAAGTCACCACATAGGGTTCTCGGCTCAATCAACTGTGAGAATGCAGGTGTCACTAACAAAAAATAGCATAAAAACGCAAGTCTAAGCTGCCCTTGATTAGGAAGTTAATTCTCTTTCCCAGGTAACACACACATTATCCACAGAATAGAAGACTTTTTAAAATGAAAACAATAAATTAGACAAACTTATACTCACATTATTATCCGGGGGTGATATTCCATTACAGAATTATTAAGATAAAAACGTTTGAAGTACATACAAGCTGTACCCTAAAGTTAAAAAAAATAAGTTATCAGGATCTATTTGTACAACCTACATGTTAAATTCTGTGAAAAGGAACTTATTTATGCAAAGGTTTCTTTGAAAAGGTCCTTCATACAAATACCAACACATTACTTCAAACATGTATTGAGTGTCCTGTGGGTCAGAGCTGAAAATCCACTTGTCTATGTTCTGGCCCCAATTCTATAGCTCATTAGTTCAGTATTGGGAAGCAAAATAATCTTATTTTATCTTTCTGTATAAAATGCATATGTCACAACTTGTTCAGCAGACCTCCATATTTTTTTGACTATGAAATGAGATTTTAAATACTTTGTAAAATTTAACAACTCATGACTTAAGGCCTTTATTAAAAAACAGAACAAAAACTAAACAAATATAACTAAGGTGAATCCCACAAACAAATGGATAGAGAATTTAGTAACTTACAAAAGATTACATTTCATAAAACAGCTACCTCATTATTAATGTTAACTCACCACAACAGACCTCGGCATTGCGGGCTTAAACACTGAGCAGAATTCCAATAATCTCTTCTCATAGTATTTACACAGAGTCAATTCTTCTTGAGGCTCAAGAAAGACTGGATCATTTGGAAGAACCTTTAAAACAAAAGAATAAAATTTACAACATAAATTTAGTGAATTCATTGTAAAACTGTCTTCTCTATCCTGATTTAATAACCATACCAAAGCAAAATATACCAAAATATTTTTCTCTTTAATCTTTTTTTTTTTTTTTTTTTTTTTTTTTGAGACAGGGTCTGGCTATGTAGACCACCAGGCTGGCCTCAGAATCACAACCCACCTTTGTCAGCCTCTAGAATGCTGGGTTCACAGGTGTGCATCACCACCACTTTGCCCAGCCCTAATTTTCTCTTTATAGAGGTGCTAAGCATTATACAAGAGCTTTAGGAAAATATTTAATAAGCTAAAACTCTCCCACTATTAACAGTTTCTCAGAATGTAAGCTGGGGGTTTGCATCATTGATATAAAAACAATGTGCATAAACTCTCAGGATTATTCATTATTTGAAATCTTAGAAGATACACTTTCAATGGTTAGAAAACCTCCAATAGCCCTTTCTCAATCACAATGTTACAAAAATCTGGGGTAAAGAACAGCAGTATTATTACTACAACCTACTCATATTTTGGTGACTTAAAAGCAGCCCTAGGAAACTAATCCAGGTGCTAAACCCAGTGTTTGGAAATCGTTGTAAAAGCAAACTAGTTCAGTAACAACAGGCGTGGGACCGCTGAGCACAGCACTTAAGTGAAGCAAAGGCTAGAAACTGTGGGAGACCTGACAAGACAGATTAAACCGGCTGAGAACTGTGAATGAGAAGGCTTGGCTAACAAGTACTACTCAAACCATCTCCAGTCAACGCTGCTAACAAGGGTCTCCCGTTTCCCTCCACTCACCTCCATTGCACCGAGGCCCTTTCTGGAACTGGTTAACTTTCCCTTTCACATCTTTCAAGGGTTCCCCAAGGTTTTCGCATACACTCAAACTGCGGCACTTACTTCTGCTTTAAGTTCCTCGTCTGTCCTCCCCAGCAGCTCAGCTCAGGAACTCAGCTTCCGCCGCCGGGACCGCGCGCGCAACCCCGCGTACCTCCTGGCCTTCCGCTTCCCACTCCGCTCCTGTGGTTCTTGTCTGTCTGCACCATCCCTTTCTCTCGTCTCTTGATCAACTACTGACAAACGCTTTTCCACGCCAATCCTGGTCGAGCAAGTGAAAGGCTCTTAACCCGCGCTACCTCAGCATCCCTGAATGTCTTCCTCCCCAGTATGGCTCTACTGCCCGGCGTGGTACCCCTGTAATCCCGGCACTCGGGAGGCTGAGGCAGAATTCCCCCAAATTCGAGCCCCGCCCCTTCCAGGCTGCAAAGTGAGTTCAAGGCCAGCCTGAACTATATAGCGAGACCATGTCTAAACAAACGAACAAATATTTTATCTGTGCCGCACAACTACAGCGACGACGTTTTTTCTCCGCGTCCCCAGGTTCTGGCCAGCGCTTGTCTACTGACTCCGTCCACAGAGGCGGCAGTAAGGAAGCGAGGCTGTGGCGGGCCTGAAGCGCTCGCGGCTGCTCGGGCTCATGGCCGCTCTACTCGCGGCCCTGTCCGCAGGACCCTCACCTTCCCATTTGCCACCGCTTTGCATTTGAATTTGCGATTGGCGTCAGACCGCAGTCGCGCCAGCTGCTCCTCGTTGGCGAAAGTCCAGTGCCGCTTTTGGCTGCTGTTGTGGTACATACTGGAGGAGCCCAGCCCAAAAGCCTCAACAACAACAACAAAACTGTAAACACAGCGATGCCGTGGCGTGAAGCAGCTCCGCGAGTCTCACAGTAACTTGCAGTTGCGGACGCACGGCGGCCGGCGCGGTGCACTGACGTCACGGTCACGTACAGCGGTCCGTCCAACCGCGGGGCGTTTCCGGGGCCCTACTAGGAGGGGTGTGGCGCCTAGGTTCCGCCCCCGCCGCTGGTCACGCAGATGGACGGAGCCTACAGACCGGCCCCTGTCTGACTGTGAGTCTCGGCATAGTCCCGCCCCTTCCAGGTCAGATTTAAAAGTGACGGGCGGCGCCATCCTGACCAAAAAGCGCGGTGCTGCTAGGTGGAAATGCATGCGTGCAAGGCAGTGTTCTGAAAAGCTGAAGAAGGAGGGTCCCCGTTTAGCCAGACCCTGTCTCAGAAAAATATAAACTAAAGGGTTGATGTTGTAGGTCATTGTGAAGGACCTTGAATTCAATCTTCATTACTGAAAATAGAAAAACAAATGGGATGTAGTAAATTAAGGTTTGGGGTAGACACAGACTCACAGGAAGTCACAGAAAGTGGGAAAGGGGCATGGGAGACCAGCGGTGTTTAAAATAGGGTTTCCCTGAGAAGCTGAGATTTGAGCAAACGTTTGAAACCACTGAGAGTAACCAGCTGGTCAGTCGTCAATTACACAGAAGATGGGGAGGGAAAATGGTTAAGGTGCGAGGCAGAGCATTCCTGGCTCTTTTGAAGAAGACTCTGGAACCCACGAAGTTGTGTAGACCCATAAACCCAGCTCTTCTAGAGGCTGAGACAGAAAAATCTCAAATTACAGGCCGGATAACTTAGCAAGACCTTGTCTCAAAAACAAAACCAAAAACAAAACAAACACACAAAACTTTGAAATGCCAGGAACGTTTGGTGCTCTATAAATCCAATCTGCCATATGCAAAATAATATAAAACTAACACTTTGGCAGCCAAAAAGAGTTCTTGGAGAACTACTGAAATTCTGGAGGAACAGATGGTTAGAAACTAGAAGTGGTGGGCGTACACTGATAAGGTTTTGCCCCTAATGTAACCTTGGCCTGTGCTTTTTTCCCTTTAAGGCTCTGTTGATAACTTACCAAGCCTCTCCCATCCCTTTCCAGAGCCAAAGTGTGTAGTCCTTGGTTGATTTTTCTTGAGACTTTAATCTCCCTTGTTGCCTGTAGAGAATCTTGCAGTAAACTCCCCAAGATGATTGAGACTTACTTTCTTTTTATTACTAGCACTTTTAAAATTGCATTTGAGATTTAAAATTTTATGTTGATTCCAATAGTTTTTACTGGTTTTGGTGTTTATGTCTGGGTATCACACAGCTGTTCAAAAAGAAGTGTTTTCCTGGAGCAAGAAGATTGACTAAAATATTCTAAGTGTTTACCTGTTGTAAGTGTGAAAAAAAATAAGATAAAGATGATAAGGTCTAGAGAATTTAGATCTTTAAAATCTATACAGGTACAAAAAGAATGACCTAATTTTGCTTTCTATGAAAACGTTAGATAAATGAGTGTGTATAAAATGTTAGGTAAATGAGTGTGTGTATGTATACTGTGCAATTCCCTTTATTTTGTTTTTACGAAAGCTGTTTAATGATTTCATAATTTTTGTAAGGAAAACTAAAAATGGGCACTTGGAAGAGTTGGCAGGATATGATTGCCACAGGGATATGGGGAAGAATCCTGAATGTCAGTTTGTTTAGGAAGCCAGATTTGAAAAAGCTGATGTCACTGCACAGTCTATGAAAAATTACCATTGACATCTCTTCCTTCACCACATAGTAGGAACTGAGCTATATCTAAATTAATCATCTACATAGTAAGACTGTTGCCAATGCCCTGAAACTAAGGCTTATTTATGATTCTGTTGCCAATTAGCTGTGGGTTCTTTGGCACAGTTGAGACGGGAATGATGAACTGACAAGGTGCAACTCTGCTAGCAACCCTAATGTCACCAGATGACACTGGACAATGCTGGTGACCACAGTCCATACAGCTGAATGCTGGCCCCCACCACTCTGGCTGCCACTGACTTTTGCCTGACACCCTGGATTGACTCTGCCAGGTGCTGACCAGTGCCAATCGGTGCTGGCTTCTGACAAACACTGCTTGGAGACTCTACTGGTGATCTTTGCTAATTTATGAATATCTTCAGGGCTAACAGCCCCTAGTATTTGTTGCTTTTTCTTTTGAGACCACTACTCATCCACACTACTGAGGATGACCTGAGGAACTTCACGGTTCATACTATCTGAGAAATAAATCACAAGCAGGTTCACAAACAGCAAAACCAGTCTTTATTTTATCAGGGCCTGCACTACAGGACAGATGGGTCAGTCCACTGCAGGAAGCCCCCTTCCACTAATCCAGGAAGTGGGCAGACAGTCTGCTTTTGTATCAGCTGAAGGCCTGGGATTGGTTCAAGTATTTCTCTGTGATTGGTTCAAATCCAGGCTTATTGATTGGCCCAAGTGAAGGCCTGTGATTAGTCTTAGTGTACAGGGCCAAAGTTCTAAGATAGTGCAGTTGTCAGTGAGAAGCAGGTTGAGAAAAGCTTTTTGACAGACAGTTGCCCTGTCACTAGGGAAACCAGAGAGTCTTTAGGAAGGCTGGCTGTGTTCATCATCATTGAAGTTGATCATGGTGCTGGATCCTTCTCTCTGTGATCTCAGCTACTTTAGAGTGTCCTCTTCTTCAAAGAGGTGGCCGTGACAGCTGAAAGGGCAGAAGCAGGGGACAGGTGATGCAGCTTGGGGGGGAGTGACTGTTAAATGGCCACGGAGCACACTGAGGTAAGTTGTTGCAGTCCATGGGAGGGAAAGGGGCAGGCAGGCACATGAAGGAGAAGGGTACAAAAGCCACTGACCAAGCCACACACATTTTGAGCTGCAGGGCGAGGCGTGGGAGAGTCAAGCACTCTCCATTGTAAATTAATTAAAAAGAAAACTGGGAAAATAAATTAGTTAAAGCTTCAAAAAAAAAAAAAAGAAAGAAAGAAAAGAAAAAGAAAAACAGAGAGAAAAAGTGGGATGCTGCCTTAGTCATTTGGGCTGTCTGCCATTTTCCTGTTCTGCTGGTTCAGCACCAGGTTTTTTCTTTGCTATTTTCATAGTAGAGGCAGAGGAGGAATTACAATTTGCTGCTCCTGTTTACATCCATGTCTAAATTAGTTCCAAATAAAAAAGCAGCAAATGTTTCTTTCTACTCCTATTTTTATTTTCTGGAACATTTCAATTACAAAGAGGAGGTAAACCTATGTTAACAACTATCCATACATGACCAATCCCTTCCGCTCCCCACGCCACTCTCGTGACTTTAAATCACATTTCTCTGTTACTACATGAAAACAATTCAAACAAGACAGACAGACTCAAGTCTCCCTTAAAAGGAAATAGACAATACAGCTGCGAGGACTCCATGACAGGGCACCCAGAAGTAAAATTTTAACAGGGAAGATTTCAGGAACTTTTAAAAGTCAACACAATCTTTGTGTGGTGCACACCTCTCAAACTCTATGCTCTGGTGATATTTGTAAACAAATCCTAAGTATTTTGACTGCAAGAATTACCCCAATCCACAAACTTCAGAGTTGGATCACTGCATGGCAAGCCTCAGCTGTGGACCACCACAGAAATGTTGTTCCTACCCAGCTGCTGTTCCAAAGTTTCTCTGGAGAGGATGCTACTAGGAATGCTTCTTTCATCCGTCAAGACAATTTTCCTCTTCTTCAGGCTCTACCCTAGTTATCTGAATGCTTTGGGAACGTAAAAGTGAAAAGCTCAGACTGTTTAATTTTAGGAGAAAAGGAAGAACAGGAATTAGAAGTTCAGGGAGTGACTTCTAACATGCCTGCAACTTGAAATAACTTTGCAGTCAAATAAAACATCATATGCAGTGTGTTGGTTACTTTTAAATCCATACTTTCAAACACATTAGCATACTTATATTTCTATAGTTTCTGATTTCAGAACCCCAAAGGAAAAAAAGTGGTAGAAAAGAAAACAAACCATATGTATCTCACTTACAAAAACTTCTTACTTTGTCCTTCTTGCTTTAAAATATGACACAAAACTATACCCCCTCAGCTACTGACATAGATTTTTGACATTTTAAATACAGCTTCACAGTGAAGACCCAAGTGCCACAAAGTTCTGTACAATTCTGTTAGGATAACACACAATTAACATTGGCTCTAAAAGCCTTACTTCATTTTTATTTCCAGTTATCAAATTATAATGAAGTAGGAGCAAAGAGGAGCCTTCAGTGAATTACTTTTTTTTGAGAGGTTTTTAATTTTTTTAAGTTAACTAAGTTTATTGGTACATTTATATGTACATAATGATCACATTCATCATAGGAAATTTGTACAAGTATCTTGATTCTTCTTTTTTTGTCATTCCTCTCCTTTCAACTCATCTTCTCTTTATTTACAAAAGCTTTGTTTCAATTTTTCTTTCTTTTATCATTTTTCTTTTTCTCTTCCTTCTTTTCTCCTGCCCTCCTCCCTATTTGAGAGAGGATCGATTTATATGAAAACTTTAGCCAACTGTCCTCCAGACAAAGGACTTCTATCTAGAATATATAAAGAATTAAAAAATCATGCTCCCAAAATTCAAAGATCCAATCCAAAAATGGGCATTTGAGATGAATACAAACTTCTCAGATTAAGAAATACAAGTAACAAACAAATATATGCAAAAGTGTTCAACATCATTGGTCATTCAAGAAATGCAAATTAAATACTGAGCTTTCATCTCGCCTCTAGACTGTCATCAAGAAATCAACCAATAACAAATGCTGGCTGGGCTGTGGAGAGAAAGGAACCCTTTTCCTTTGTTGGTTGAGTGTGGACTGGTACAACCAACGTGGAAATCAGTATGGAGATTCCTCAAAAAGCTAGGATTAGAGGTTCTATTTGACCCCTTCTGGGTATTTTTCCAGAAGAATTAAAAACATACCAAGTGATATATGCGCATCTGAGTTTATAGCAGCACAATTTGTAGTAGCTAAATTTTGGGAACAGCCCAAATGCCTATCAACAGAGGAATGAATAAAAATGATAAGATATTTTTATACAGTGGTGTATTACT